AGCGTGTAATTAATCCATGACCGTGTTTTTGCGTATACATTCGTAAGTGGAAGCCCCACAACGAAACATATGTGAAAAAGCCCATTCTTCTGAATAAAACGTGCTGTACTGGTATCCAGAATCGGAACGTCGCCCGTTACAAACACGGAAATCGCATTTACAGCTTGACCATTAACGTGTTAATTGCCCTCTCGACTTCTTTGCGATTGCTGCACGCGGATTTGTAATTGTATACGACTCTATTACAGGCTGCCGTCGCGTTTGGCTTCATAAAATTTCGGAACTTTCTTACCTCTCCAAACTACCACTGAGATATCGCAATTCGTCTGTCGTATTCGAACTCTTCTCTTTTGTACTTCATAATTTATTGTATCTAATGTATTTGTAATTTGAGAGTTATATATGCATATGTAGAGAATTATCCTCGCAGGAATGTTCGCTTCTCTTCTCGGTAATCTTCGTTTCTATATCGTTGACGCAGAAATTATATGTCATGAATCTATCGATTCTATTCTTCCCTCTTCCGTGATAATCAATGGAGAATTGCGGGCCTGGAAGCTAACCATTTAAATTATACGGGTAGTTGAATATTCAACAATTTTCAACTTAGGTTCCTACAGCTTTTATAACAACTTTATAGATGAATACATGGTGGAAATTACAACTTTGTCGAAGAGAGAGAGAGAGAGAGAGAGAGAGAGAGAGTGAGAGAGAGAAAGAGAGGAAAACGTTTGCATACATTGCTGCTGCACAGATAAGCGTAATCGTTGTTAACTATCGCTTGGGTTCGTGTTTCCTATGTACCAAAACTCTCCGAATGTGCACATTAATTGTCTTCTATTGGACGATTATCAGGTGGGCGTACATTATTCAATGAACTCTATTCGTTTACCATTAATATTTTATTTTCATCACTCCTATGGAAATTTATTTTTTCAGAATTAGAATATTTTCTTTCATTTTTAGGAGCGTAATACACCATTTGCAATTTTCGACGTTCTTTTTACGTGCTCCAAAGCTGAGATCTTGCTATTAATTTCTGGACTTCTCGAGCATGATATCAACGATACACGAGGAATGTTTATGCGTCGTCACTAATATGTATGTCAAGCATAGTGAATCGAGATATACTTTCCCTGCTTTCGCGCGTATCCACCGTCCAAGACGAGTTCACTAGCAATTGAGTATTGTCCGAGGTGGCCAGCAGTGAAACCGGAACTCGAGAAAGTTCCAAAAAGATGGTCGAGCTGAGAAAATTGCTCTGTTTACATACATGCACTCCGATGCTAGGTGTACACTCGTTCTACGTATTCGTATTTATTGACTGTTTACGGGAACGAATGCGGCATGAAAATGATATTTGATGATAGCAGTTGATTAAAACAAAAATTGTGCAATCATCCCTTTGCTATTTGATTGTATAATGAATGAGCAGATATATGCGAAAAAAACCGGTTCTCTGTTCCTGGTGCTGAATCATACCTAAAACCTGTCGACTTCTTTCGCGTCCACATTCACAACAGTTTCACGATGACGTTCATCCAATACATGTGCAACAGGAAAACATTAACAATGCATATATTAGCATATTTTTTTAACGATATTTTTTTATCTCTCTATTCTTCCCGTCATGTTAAAATGTTACGTCTAGTCTTTGGAAATTCCACTAATTTGGCATTCAATTACGGATTAATTAGATTCCGCGTAAATAATGAGGAATTTCTAAATATTTTATGTTCGTGTCTTTCAAACTTTGGCACTTGATTGACAATCTAGAGATATTTTTAATTTTGACGACCGAAAGTTGGTATCGTAAGGGAAAGGTGTAATAGGTATGCTTATACATAAGAATCTCGTAAAGGGAAACTATGCATTCTTCATTGTGAGATCCATTTACGAACTATTCGCATGGAAAATATTCGTTCCTGTTGCGCCAAACTCTCGAAGCTACTTTCATACGCTCGGCGATTTTGTAATTCGGCAGTATTCTCTCACGCATAGACTATTGCGTCCCAGGTGCCCGTTCTTTTAGTTACAAAGAAGGTAAAGCGAGTCCACATAACGCAGTTTAACCGATGCATGTTACATACGCGCGCAAATATAGCTCAAGTATCCTGCTGTATAGTCTCGTCCTAAATTTCTCTGAATTTCATAAAATCTCGGAAGTGGATAATCTTCGTGCCCATTCACCGAAAAAAGTCTCCTAATGAAATAATTAGCGATATTGCATTACGCTCGATCCCGTGAAATGGAATTAATCGCGGTCACGATCAATTACGGAAAAAATTGCATGGGCTGGAAAGATATAAATGGATCTTGTCGCAAGAATACGCTATCTTTCCCTCTCGATGATCCGCAGCAGAAGAGGATAGACGACTTTAGTCTCGGTCGTGGCTGGTACCGCCATCCTCTTATCCCTTCTCATTCTATCGAATCGTCTACGATCACCGATCGCACTTCTGTCTTCATCCTGCTATTTTCTGTTTAAAATCTTTATGCTACGTTATTTTGCATTTCCGATAAATATTTAATAATAATTATACTTCATCCTAGAAATACCAGTTTCTTTCTCTGTAATTTCTAACGATTTGCATTGCTATTTCAGTAGCAGCTTTTATGAGAGTGACAAGAGTAAATGGAAACTGCGGAGCGACAGAAGATAAAAAAGCTTTCATAGAATATCTTCAACATCAGCAATCATTTGCAAACTCGAACGAAAGTAGATGAGGACAGAGGACCATGGTCTCGACCGTGGCTGGTACCACCACCTATCAAGCCTTCTCATTCTACCAAATAATCTACCAGCACCGATTCGACTCCCACGACTGGTTCCGCCAGTCGAGTCGGTCGAGATCGTTTACGCTCGGTCCCCTCCGATAGCACTCGCTGCTTCCAAGCTTGTCTGCTCGACTTCGTTCGGTTTCATTCGGCTAATCAACGTGCGCGCCGTTCAGTCCACCATGAACCGTCGAGCGGTTCGCGTTTTTTGAGTTCCTCATTTTTTCTTTTTCTCTTTGATACTTTCCTTTGCTCGGGAGCTCGTCATTACTCCCTGTTACTCGTTCGCGAATCGATCTCAATCGTGGGCATGTGTTGCGTGCGATTCGTTTAATTTCTCTGGATATACGTGGTGAACAGAACGCGCACAGGGTGAGTTTTTCTAGTTTCACAGTTTTATATCTGCACTTCGACCTTCTGGATCGCTTAGTACTCTTGTTTGTTTAGCTGCAACGCGCTAAAACGTTTCTGCGCGCAGGTTTGCTCGTGTCGGTTCTTGCGGATTCGAAAGTCATCGTTTGTGCGTGGCTCGTTCCTAACTGTGCAGATCGCAGAGATCGCAGTTGTCCTTGCAACTTAATGCATCTAAATTGAAACGAATCATTGGGAGCAATGCTTCTCACACGAGAAAGGAAAAAATGAAGCACATTTATGGTTTCACTTTTCATTGACCAGCGTTATAACCGTTCGAAAGGTTTACGAGTAAGGTTACGTTATGCTCTTTGTAAGTGAAATCCCCGATTCTTTTATACGTTCTACTTTCTATCAGCATTGTGCTATTTACTTTCTTGCGTGGAAATTATTCGTAATAGATCTGCATATTTCGAGAACCAAGAGCGATAATAAAACGCAAAACTTTCCGAACTCGCGTGTATTTGAATGCAACCGCCGTATAATAACATATCTCTAATCATTCAGATTAGTAATATCTTTAGATTAATAGGGTCGTGCGTTCTGTATCTCTTTATAGCTGCAGAAGTGATCGGAATTTTTATAATGATTTGTACAAAATGAATACCATGACCCAGAGGTTATCGTTAGCTTTAATTGTTGATAAATAGATTTAAAAAACACGATGATGATCCACGGTGCATGTATAGACTAGACAATTATCGGAAGCAGAAGGTCTGATATGAAAACTAATGTCAAAGGTCGGCATTCGAAAGAGCACAACGCGTTTTATGGAATTGAATCGAGAGATAATAGCTCGACTGGCGCCTTCATTAAGTTTGTCGTCGATACATTTAAATAGCTATTAAAAGACGCAGCGTTTCGCCATAAAACAGTTTTTCTGCTGCAGTAGTGTGTCTGCGAATCGGACATTTCCATCCTTAGAAATGTAACAGTAACGATTGTTCGCATTACGCAATGATTTGCAGTTACCGAGGGAACATTAAATTTCTATCTTCTCTTTTTTTTTTAGCGTCTTGCATGAATAAGAACTCGTAATACAATACTCGCGTGGCGACCGCTGTAATGAGAACACAGAAAAATATATGTGCATGTTTAGTGGCATATGTAGAGCGCGGAGAGGAAGTGGACATGACACTGCAACTGAAACTGCATAAATTTTCAATCGTTCTTAATTAAGAGGATCATCGATTTGCCGTAATATATGTACTACTTAGAAATGACTGTTCGTGGGAACAGAAGCATCTTCTTAGACAAAATGTGAGAAACGAGTTTAACTGGGACAATGAGTTTCCACATTGCCATTGGAAAGCAGACAAAAACGAAAGATGCATTGCCTTGGGCGACAGAACGTTTCATTCGACGCCGATAAATCGTTCGAAGAGCACATCTCTTTTCGATACATCGTCGAATATGGGTCATGATCACGGCTCATGAACATTTTTTCTTAAATAGATCAGCTGGAAACTATTCACGCTACCAGAAATGCGAGAGAAAGTGCGACCAAGCATTTTCTAATTGCCCGCATCCGCTGGAAAAATAGTGGCAATTATAGTTCATCCCGTTGAATGTATGGTTAATCACGGATTAATGATGCTACGTAGATTCTTCGGGTAATGACTCGCGAAAGATGCCTGTAAGTTCTTCGCGTTCCTTCTGTTCTCCTTTTCTTTCGTCCTCTCCTTCGTTCCACGCGCTAATGATCTCGCGTTCGGTTTCACACACTGGTTGAAAATACTTTCGTTGAATTTTCTGTGCTGTGTTCGTTTTAAATTAGGAACTTTTGTCGGCTAGCTATTGATAGCGCATAAACGTTTCGATGTTGGGTACAAGGTTTAGGAGTAAACCTCTAATGGAACGAGGGGCGAGGATGATCGGTGTGGCTGAGATTAAATTAACAGCGGCAACTAATTGGTTAATTCTACAGATGGTGGCCAGAGGACGATAAAATACGGCTCACGTGTCAGTAGGAGAGTCTCACCTTGAACGTTATGCAACCCGTTATTAACATACGCATAACTACGTTGACTAGGGTTAGTTCATAGAAAAACTGCGCTGCGTTTGTATTTAATCGACTGCATTTAAACGGCGTCACTGTCTTGGTGAACGATTAAAAAATTCTATAGAATCGTTTCTCCTGATAGAGTACCGGATCTCTTTTTGCTCGTCCCTCTTTCTCTGTTACGGTAAAATAACGCTTCGTTCTTTTGCGCCAGTCTATGATATAGCAAAACTCTAAATTGACGAATAATTTTATTCGCGTACTAATCATTTTTCTAATATTAGACACATTATGCTACACTATGTATAATAATTACTCTGTACAATTTGCACTCCTATAATTGGAGCATCAGTTTCTAAAAGCAGTGAGAATGATATTACACACTCACCAGCAACCAGATGTTATTCTACGTTAAGTATCGCTCATTGAGATTCACGGAAAGTAGATTTTTCACAGGTGGTACTAATTTAGTTCCTCTTCTTTCATAATTATTCCTGTCGATTATCTTCGACGACCACTATAGATGTATTTCTAGGAGTTCCCTTTCTACTCCGGTTACTTTCGTAGTGGACACTTCTAAGGGTGTCACATTTTTCAGTAATTTCCGGGACTTGCTCGTTCCGGAAATTCAAGTTGGAAGTTGGATAAGTATTGGAGGAATCAGACCATAAAGGAAATTTTGTGCTTAGCGACGAAGAATTCAATTTCTTTGCAAAGAAACGAGAGTTTGAACGATAAAAGACGTGGAAAAAGAGAAGGATGTCAGTAAAATGCTCAAGAAAGGAATTCCAGTAATAAAGAAAGCAGCTGAAAGGTACTAAGAAAGAGGTTGAAACAATAGAAGAAACCACGCAAAGAATTAGGAACAAGTAGAAAGCTAGGAATGATTAAATCAAAGAATTCGAATAATTAAACCGGATTGGAGTTTCAGATACTTCAGGGATCAATAATACAAACGCTCGAAGAAAAGGATTGCAACGATGAAAAATAAGGCCAGTCACCTTGGAAGAAATACAGGAGAAACACCACAGCAATGGAAACAGCCGGAAGTTCTGGATCCTTATCTTTTCTCTGGTTCCTCTGAGTTCACTCGTTCAGACCCCTCGAACTTTGACGCTTGACCAATTTTACGACCTCGTTGTATCTGTAGAGGCTGCTATACTGTGTCTACGTTCTAACGGTCATCTAATAGAGTAATTACGTTGCTTGTGCGAGATTTATGTGTACAGTTAAGGTGGCATTTTGCTCGAAACTTCAACGCACCGAAGTAAACCCTCGCCGGAGAAGGAAACGAAACACCTGCAATCGTACTTCTGTGACGAAAGTTGTCCGCGCTTCCATCATTGAACATCGGGAATTCATTCGCGGCTCGTACGAAATTGGTGGCGAAAGTTGTTGACATTATCCGGGGTACGAGTACGGACAGTTACGGTCTCGACTATGGCCAACGTTTATTCATTATTCATGACGGGAACTTTTCAGTAATTATACATTTTAATGATTTGTAAACGATTTTACAATAATGCCATGCAGTTGAATCGCTGCATTGTTCTCCGGAAAAAATCGGTGGAAATTTTTTAACGTTGCCTGGTATTTTTTGTAGAGCAAGAAAGTTCAACGGCGAGATATCCATTGCAGGGATTGGCTCGTGGAAGGTACTCTATCCATTGCTAAACTGGATACTCGTAATGCGATACTTTGCAAGTACACGCGGAACGGTTGTGACTTTCGTATAGCGTAGTATTATTAGCATACATTTCTCGATGGTGCATGCACGCCGGTGCATCATTCGAGTGGAATTCAGAAAAAGCCGCTTGCTCGTGCGATTCGTATACGCTCCACGATTTTCGTGGAGACACGCCAGAGAAATCGGATGCAGCTTGTCGCTTCGATAATAAGGACGTGCATTCCTTTTACTTGCATTTATAATTCATCCTCGTGCTCGTCTTGTTTCCGCAAACATTCGGGCTAATGCGGTTGACAACGCGATGCAAAGCCTAAATGAACGGCCTAAAATAGACATTCCAGTTGGTAAATCTTCTTACATAATTGCTAAAGTAGAAACAAGTAGAATCGATTTGATATTTGTTCAAGGAAAATTAACGCAGTGTGTTTCAGGTATGCAAGACTGCCGGCGCCTGTTCGTAGAGAGTTCGAGCAGACTTTCATTCTAATAGATCAGGCAGATCACCGTTATCCGTACACTCTTGCCAAGAGTTATTTGTTTGACGTATTCGCGTAAATATCACGCACGTCTGTACGTGAAAGGGCCACTCGCCCCTATGCACGATGCACTGTACACGATACACGATACGCGATGCACGTGTTGTGCGTACAAGCTGCGCGTGTCACACGTGGCACTCGTTTGCTTGCGATTCTTTTTGTTCTTCCCTCGGTGAGGGAACGTCGCAAACGTATACGAGGCACGAGTCGAGTTTGAAACGGAACACCGGGTAGAACTCGATGCAAGCTGTCATGCAACAGGTGTTGTACGCACCGGCAATCGAAGTGCGCTGCCGGTTTACCAGCACGACCCATTCCGCGTACGAATCCACGAGTAATTTGTGAGTCATGAAGATTTATAAGATCTCGGCGTGCGTGATTTAAGCATGGTTTAAGCGTAAAAGCGTGAGTTCTAGAGCCATAATTACGGAAGTTCCCTGCAAACTCTCCACTGTCGAGTCATTAGCAGGGTCAGGATAGCGATTCGAGACAGATTCGTTCGCGTTGCTTCTTTCTCGAGTAATTCCTTTGATGCGAGTTCTCCGTCTTCGTGATGAGCGTAACGATGGGAAATCATTGTGTCACCGAGAACGATGGAACCCAGTTCTCATGAGTTCCAAGACTCGGTACGTAGGACGAACGCACGCAAGCTGAACGCGATTCGAGAGAACGACGAAGAAGGAACTGCTGTGAGTCGGACAGAAAGGGATTATGGTATAGCTGCAGGAAGGTAGGGCAAGTCACGGAAAGGCACAGAAAGGCACATCGGGTTCCATTCCGGTGTACAGTGGACTCGCATAGCGAACCACGGCAACAAGCAACACACGATACACACGGGCCAGGCAAACGCTTTGGTCCGACCTCTTTGTGGCTACGTGGGAGGAATAGGAAGTCGTGCATTAAATCCGAACCTCCACCTTTCAACGCTTAAACGCTTCTCAAATAGAATGTACAGGATACCGGCGTGAACCGGCACGCTCTGCGCACAAAAGCGAGATCGTGATTGCGCTCATTTTTCAGTTAACATACGAGGAATTCTCCTTCTTTCTTGTTAGTCTCTTTCTGCTCGAGCTGCTTTGAAACTAGCCGTTCGAGCGAAATAGACCGGGTCAGAGAAGAATTCCGATGCGGCACATCGAAATTTCATCAGCCGATACTCGTTAGGCAATGAAAGAGCCGAGGCGTGGTTGCATAGCGATAATGATCCACTGAATGCACGATACAGTGAACCACAGACGCTTGTTCTTTAAGTAACGCGTCAATGCACATTTGATCTAATTGAATATACAGTGGTCGCGAAGTGTGAATAGTGTCATGTGCGAGATGATGAAACGCGAAAGGATTTAGCCTTCGTGTCCAAGGCTGACTACTCGAACGGCGAACAATCGTCTGCACTTTAAGCCGGTTTTACGCGGTTTACCAATCCTCTCGAGGGACAATGCGTCGTCGATGACAGTGTCCGCTCGTTATGGTTTTCCCCGATTATTGCTTTCCCCGAAATTTTTCCTCGTTCTTCCGAGTATTAAGGTACTGAAATAAGCGACTCGATAACGATCCGTGGTTATCAAGAAGAAAATGTTTGCGCTTGGTATACACGTACTCGTAAAAACACATCGCGAAACACGAATGGCGGAAGGTGCTTCTCTAAACGGATGATACGTGTATGCTCTTGGGAAGTAACGTTATACGGGATATATCGTTTGCGATTACTCTGTCCGCGTATACCTGCTTGATTGTATAATCGAAACAAATTGAGGAAAAAATGCGACAAAGCACTTCCCACGATCCTCGAAGAGTGAAAAGTTGTTTCGTTCCTGACGTTACGTAAACTACGCGTTTTCGCTTTTAGTGGATAAAAATCATTGATTTATATTTCTTTTTCTCATCTCTGCGAGGAATAAACTTTCTTACTGCAATTAACTATGAATTTGGGGATAAAGACGAGGCAATGCCCTCTTCGATTATATACCGTCTGGAATGTAATGTTTTCCTAATCTTCTTCTTGCAGGTGTCGGTGATTGTTGGTGAAAATTAAACGGACCGACAATATGAGAAACTCAACGTTACTGAAGTGGGCGCAGAACTCGGCGAACAGTAAAAATCAAACCAACAAGAATGGTGAGCAGATTTAGTTATGACTGCACGCATGATGCAGCGTGTATGGCTATGTGTAAGATCGGTGAATTCTATTTGCAGGGACGAATAGGAACTGGATACACCCACCAGATTCGCTCCAAAAAGGCCACATCGCCTACTTAGTTAAGGTATAGCTTACTTTCATCGCGAAAGTACGAGGAGAACGTTGCATGTTTACTAATAATTCAAAGAAAAAAGAATCAACGTTCTTCTATCTCTCGGAGTACTAGATAATCTTTTATAAACTGCAAACTAAAATTTGTGCGATATAAAAGTCATAATAACCGAGTGTAGCAATACAGCGAGGTCGTGCTCTGTTGCAAAATCGCCAGATTGCAAACAAAAATAAACGAATTCCAATCACGACGTCATACGTTCGATATTCATCCAGATGTCGACCTTCTTTGAAAGATCATGGCCATGGTCCTCGATCGTTATGACTGTAAAGGGATAGAAGAGAATTATAATTGTAAAAGGGAGTTAAAAAGTAGAGTAAACTAAAATTCCTGGTACTAAATTTGAATCATTTGATCTGTGCATAATGGAATGAAATTGCTGTTTGAGATTTTTTTCCGATAACGTACATATGTCACGAAGGTATAAGGAAATAATTTAGCGTTTCACAAAGAACGAGATAATCGAGGATTCGACAAGTCATTCACAATTTTCTTTGAACGTAACGCGCGAAAATAAACCGTAAGCAAATAAATATTATTATCTATCATCAGCGTTGTAAGGCCGTCGTTCTCACTGTTTTAATAACCGATAATAGCAGAAAGCGTGTTTAATTTAACCGTTTTGATTAAATTTACAATAACTTATTGGATTTCTTATCCGAAGCAGTTACATAATTCCCTCGCGTGTGTATATATGTCTTTTTCCGAATGCGAGTACGTGTTAAGAATGAAACTGGTCGAAGTTAGAACGGATGAAAAGTTCATTGCACTTTGAAATTTCGCGAACGAATAGATTTCACTATTCTGTCAAGCGAAACGAATGAGCTATCGGCGTGCACCGTGTTCTTTTTAATTACTTTTAGCAATTTATATTTTTCGAATATACGATGTATCTTTTTAAAAAGTATTCGATATCGTTTTTAACACGACGAGAGTAGGCTCATTTTGTTTTAAATATAGAATGTTTACGAAGTATTAATTATTTGAACGCTCTACATACGCTTTTATAGGCGTTAGATATTGCCTTGACCATTGATCTCGATGTCGTAACACATACACATCGTTCATTATATGTCGGACAAATTATTATTATGAGGCAATGGTTTATGATAACTGCTGCAAGTGTATGTAAGCGGCTAAAGAATATATATATATATATATAAAAAGAGAAAAAGATGCAAGATGAATAATGAAATATATAACGCAACATTTACACATTCAATTATCTCAGTTTTTATATTTTTATTTATAAAATAACATATTTGAATCGTAAATTATGCGTTATGTTTTGTAGTACTTGGGCAGCACAGAAGTGGATCAACCCAAAGGCATCGAGGTTGTTAAAGAAGCCATTTGTAAGCTCAAATTCAATCAACAGTTGAGGAAAAGCGAAGGTACGAAGACTCCTAAGGTAGAACTCACCATAAGTATCGATGGAGTTGCAATTCAGGAGCCTAAAACGAAAACATCACCAAAAGTATTACAAATTTATATTCGCAATACAGATATATATTATTATGTAATGAAGTTTCTCAATTAACTTTGTTCTTTTAGCGGATTATGCATCAATATCCACTGCATAGAATATCATATTGTGCTGACGACAAAGGAGAGAAAAAATTCTTTAGCTTTATCGCGAAAGAGGAAGACGCCGAGAGACATACATGCTTCGTCTTCGTTAGCGATAAATTAGCTGAAGAGATCACATTAACGATCGGTCAAGCCTTCGATTTAGCGTACAGGCGGTTCTTAGAAACATCTGGAAAAGATTTGGAAACACAAAGGCGCTGCATGGTATTACAGCAAAAAATTAAACGATTAGAACATGAGAATAATGTATATCGTCAACGGCTTCAAGATATAGCTGCTATCAAAGGATCGGTTGGTTTAAAGAATATATATTTTAACTGAGAATATATTGAATATGATATATTGAATATATTGAAAATACATTATGCTTTTAAAACACAAGTTAGATTATTTTACGAGATTTTTACTTTAGGCTGACGTGTCTGCATATTTGTCGCAACACAATCTTCCGGATATCCTGCACGTGCCTGGCGCCACAAATGACACAGCACAAGTAAATGGATTGGGAAGTAAATCTTCACTTAGTATAAACAGCGATAGTAATGGGAATACCTCAAATGGATCACAACCACCTCCAGTTCCTCCAAGAAGTTTTGAAAAAACATTCGACGATAATTTTATGGGGTATCTAGAAATATAATAATAAATGTGTTTCAAAATATTTTAAGAATATTTAATAATTTAGTGGTTTTTCACAAACAGAAATGAGCCTACACCGACGCCATCAGTTGGTACCAAATTAGAAGGACTTTTGATGGACGAGTTCGAGGAGGATTTTAACCCTAGAGCATACGAGAGTGCAGCCAATGGTTTGACAAATCATCAAACGAATCATAATAGTCTTTTAAATGGTCAAGTATCCTCGAATTCCAACTTCTTCTCACAAAGTAATGGTACCACAAGTCCTCCACCATTATGTGAGTTAATTATTCTCTATTTCTGATTATAAAAGTTAAACGTCTTAGTGCTATATGCTGTATGTATCACTTAGTGGCGCCACCACCAAAAGCAAAGGATTCTAGACGTCAAAATGGGATGAAAGAAGATTTATTTGGTAGCATTCCCTTCAATCCTGCACCATCCGTAAACACAAAGAATGAATTCAATGATCCATTTGAAATGGGTGAATTCGGAGCTACAACAGCGATTTCTAATCCTAGCCAACAAGAATTGGAAAATGCTATTGGCCTTTTAGATAAGAAGCTGCTTGAAATGAAGGTATAACTTGTGATTAACATAAAACTAGTATGTAAATATTGCTATAATATTTAAAATAAAATTTAATTTTCATTAAATTTTATTAACTTGTTTGTATTTCAGGATGGTTTTAGCAGAGGTTTGTCCATCGATACTGATGATTTTTCGTTGGAAAGTTTGGATCCGCTACGAAATTGAATCAAACATTTTTTTTTTTTAATGGAAAAGGCAATTGTTCGTAATCGTATGTTCGTTGGAGAACATAAAAGTCCAGAAAATTAATAGGCAAATTAGGAATATACATTTATGCGAAACCAAAATTAGTCAATTACTATTATAATTATACTAATCATATATTTATCATGATGTTTGATATTTATCATATGCCTATTGAATATCGATAATAGCTTAAATCACGTTGCTAAGTGATCTAGAGATTTTCTATCATTAAAAAGAAAAGGAAAAGAAAGCATAGGAAAGCAAATAGTATTGATACTTGTACGGTACGTTTATTAATACTGTTTGTTTTTTGTAAATTTGAGTTATTTTATCAGCATATAACAAAATAGCAATGTGAAATATTTTAACAGAATTTCTTATTGTAATTTGTCATAAATCAAATGACAGAAGTAACAGATATTTTTCTTCTTTGTTTCTCCATTCATTCATGAATGAATGTATCAACTATTGTGCCTTTCAACAGCATTTATCGAGCTAGTTTGAAATTTATTCTAAAGCTCATAGACATAGTTTTTCTTAAAGTATATTTGTAACTTATAAACTTTACTATCGGAAAATGGTCCATTTCATAGATAGAATAGTCTTACATGAAGTGCATTAGCACTTTTTTCAATCATACCCCTATATTCCTCTTCAAAAATGTAGAGTTTAGAAACACGCGGAACTATCGTTTTTTAATCTGCATTAAACAAATATTGCATAATTTTTAATCGCTGGAGAACTGAGGATAAAATACGATTGCCTTTATTATTAGTTTCCAATTAAAAAGAAAAATTAGTAATGTACTTTTGCAATGCTATTTTTAAGATACAATTTTTGAGACATGTTCGAACGCTGTGTGCATATTACCGTCAAGATTACCGTCAACGCTAACTGAAATAGTCGTAGCAATCATTACTATTAATAGACGGTTGTATATCTAACATCTAAATCTCTTCTATTGGTCTTTCATCCTCTATTTCCTTAAAGTTATTCTTCCATCTTTCATTATATGCATTTAATATCGTAAATATACATATATACAGATGTACACACACGTTCCCTTTTCACACACACACACATACACACACACGCACACACATATCACACATACACACGGATTATATAAATATATATAAAGGAACGAAGAATATAAGAAAAATGTAAAATGGTATGAATGTTGTGCAAGATTTTAGTCTCAGATTTTATAGACACTTATGCATGTGTACATCATGCAATCTACAAAATTATAGAAATTCATGTTTGATATATTAAGAGGAAGATTATTAATTATGTACATACGAAATGCTGTTTTATTATTGTTGCTCTATTGTTTAAGCATTATCGTTAATAATATAATGCATAAATAATGTAGCTGAGAAATTCGTTTTATTTAACCCATATTCATTTTAATTTTAAAGATGTGAATTCTCATTTGCATTTCAAATAAATTAGTTTTAGCAGACGATACAATATACTTTCTTTCGATACATCGAACGTTTATTTTCGATATATACATATCGAATACTAATTTTTGACATGATATCGATTCTCGATAAAGTCCAATACGTTGCCAATTGGGTTGTTCCTATAATTGCAAATAAATACTTTTCTAAACATTAAAGTAATTTTCAAAATTCTTCTATTTTTATGTAAGCATATTTCATGTTACGTAAATAATTATTCACAACAATTACGTTCAACAATTGGTTAAGTGTTTCGTCAGATATAGAAATAGTCATATATATATACATATTTACTTGTATACATATATACATATATTTAGATATTTATGTATGCAATTTAGAATCGCGAAGCTTTAAATTTTCATAAATGTCGAAAGTTCGACGAGCGTTTACTAGAATGCCGACCGAAATCGGCAACGGGAAATTGAGAACTCTCCCGTGGTGAGGCGCCATTGTCGTAAACGTGGCGCGGCACGCGCTGCGTCAGTATTCCGCGAGCTTCCATCGCGTTCTGTTGCAGTTGAACGTCGAGGAAGGAGCTACCCTGTTCGATAGTGAACTGCGGAGTACGAGAAAAAGTGCCTTTCATCTAAAGTAAGAAACAACGAATTAAAGGATGGCGGACGACAGTCACGAGAACGGCACCAGCAACGGCGACGTACCCGAAATCGAGTTAATCATCAAGGTGAGTTTATACCACGCGTGGAGCAGAGTCGAGGAAGAAGGAAGAGATAGGGAAAAAAGGCGATCGTTTCATGCACGATATGGGCGTGGAACGAACGACTGGTTTCTTCCTGTACTTTCTTCTTCTTTCTCTCAATGTTTCTTCTCCTTCCATCCGGTGATCAGAAGCGCCGCCGAAACGACCGTTTGCGACAAAGGTCCGTGTATATCGTTTACCGTTTCGAAAATAGAGAAGCTGCACTCAGTGACCATTGACCGTTTACAAGTAGCGTCCGTGCGCTTCTTCGGTTATCTTTTGTTTTCTTTACCCTTTTCGTAGTCGGTTACACGATCAATTCACGGGTCGATCAGTTGTTCGAAACTATCTCGATGACAATAAGTTGGACTTCGACTCGTTATTCGAATATGGTGGCGAAGCGTGAGGCGTACAAAAGCTTTTCATATTCGTCGATGACTAATTGCAAGCACAAGAGACATCGACAAACGAACACGGAACCATTTCTTGCGAGGAAACCGACGTAACGCCACTCAAAGAAATACACACATATGTACAAAGGGGATTCTGGTTGGCCGCGTTTTCTACGTCATTGGCTCCTCTCTAGGAAAAAGAATCCCTTTACTCTCATCTTACGATACATTTTCACGATAGTGCGTTTTTTTTCCGTTCGTTCGATTCGGCTCTACCGGAATAAATTCGTTTCTCGTCCCTCCCTTTTCCCGCGTAATTCGTCATTGGAAATATAGAAAGAGACAAGGTATTCTACGGCTACGGCGACGCATTTGCACGGACCATATATTAATATAACGAGATTAGAAGCATTTATACGTAGCCAAGCGGAGGATGAGAAAACAACGGCTGGAAGGCTCCGCTCCGTTCTCGTGGTAATTAACGTTGGAAACGTACGTGCAGCGGGAAAATTAAAAATTCTCGTTCGCAATTTTGGTGCTCCGACATTTATAACCTCAATCGATAGGTATCGGGGGAAATTCATAATTCTTTTTCGGAGCGAATTAATCAGAGGCATTGATTTTTTCGCTTTTTCCTCTCATTGTATCGCGGCTACTATCTGAAACAGATAAACAATACGTATCTTGAAACGGACATTTTTCTCTTCGACATAGATAATCGTCCTAGACTGGCGCAGCGATCGATTTAATCGAGAACGAACTCGATTCCACTTCTCGGAACGCTCTTTCACCATATTTTCTGGGAAAACGTCTCTTTAGAGGGAAAAATCGGCTGAATCCGGCCTCGGACTTGTTTCACCTGTGTGCTCGCTCCTAATCGAGCCTTGGATATTTCAGGCAATGTCAAACGCTAATCTTATCGCATCTACGCCATCGCGAGTGCGACGCGTGTTAGAACTGTTCCCTCGTAAATAGCTTTCTTCTTATCGTTGCTGGATCGTAATAAATAAATAAGCAGGTGAACGTATTGGCATCCGTTTCGTCACACGCGACCATTCAGCGGAAAACGCGTTACACTTTATTATCGAACCTTTATCCGAGTTTCCCATGACAAGAATATTATTAATCTACTTAAATATACCCCGATTTTTCCTTCTTTTTTTTTTCTATCGATTTGAAAATGTATTATCGAAAATCTTACTCTGTATACTTCTTTCTATCTAGATTAATGGGAGCGATTATGGTTTTGGATTTAAAGAGATTCCATGTGGTGAGATGTTAATTGGACGTTCGGAGCATTTACGATTTTTAAGGACGTTTTTTAAACGAGGAAAAATTGGAGGCGCTTCCGTGGACCTGATTTTCATGCTTCGAATGCTACTGGATTTTTAATTGCACACTGCGAGAGAGTTAGAGGGAGAGAATGGCTTTGGAGAGCGAGAGAGAGAGAGAGAGTGAGAGGGAGAGGGAGAGGGAGAGAGAGCCTTAGAAGTAGAATCCTGTAGGAACGAGAGATATCCGGGGACGACGTTCATTACAAGAAGAGATTTAATGGTAACTGGCCGACCTTGCACTCGGAAGGCGATCATGCGAGGTCTTCGTAAGTGTGTCAAACGGGATGAAATGACGGGGAGCTCAGCGAGGTCCTCGAGATTCTACCGTTAAACGATGAACTCCTTTACCTTCCGCTTTCCTCGCTCTTCTTGCTTTCCCCCGTGCGTAAACACCTCCCCCCGCCGCCCCTTTCCGCTCCTTTCCGCCTCCTCGTCCGCCATCATTCTTTCTTTACCTTACTGATTGACGTTACTTTGCATCGGTCCCTCGTGACCGTGAATCTTTAACTGTTAATCTCGTCTTAATACCGAATATGAGTCATCTTTGCGTTTTATTTGCATACAGGATACTCGTGAAAAATGGTTGATGCATGGGCAGTGAATGATAGAGAGAAAAAGGAATTGGAAGAATGGAGCAGAGGTGTAGACGAGAAGGTGCATGGCATATTCATAGCTTGTAAAACGTGTCGGATGCGAATATTCGACGTTGCACGCCATCTAGAACAGGGAAGTATCGTGTGACCGAGTGCGGTTATAAAAAATCGATCGGATGTTGCGGCTTAATCTTCCTTAAGGTCATTACGAGTGTTCCCGGTCAGAAGTAACAGATAGAATTATGCTCCAGCACCTTCCAGCAGGGTTGCAAAATCTGCGTCGAGTCGCGAAGAGAGAAAAACGAGAAAGAAGAAGGGCAAAGGCAAATTTTTCTCAGCGAAGAAAAGACGAATTTTTCTTCACTCCAATTCGAAAACACGGTATTACCTCGACACTATTAATCCTCGTTGGTTAGGATTAATCGTACATTTTTATTCATAGCGGTATATCAGCGATGTGCTAAAAAGGAAAAAAGAGGCGATACGATATCCTCGACACACACGGAGAATTTACGACACACGTACATACCGCCTGAAACAGTATTCGTTGATGTATGTGTGCCGCTGATAGCCATTGGCTTGTGCGAGCGCATATTCGCCTATTTACCGTATGCTGTGCATTATACGGCAACTTGCCCGATGACGTGTTGTATCCGTGAGCATTGTTCCCTTCTTTTTTTACAAATTGTCCTTTTCTATACTGATATGCCGAAGCCAAGCATTCTAATCGCGTGTGCATTCCAGGTAAAAGCTGGGAGAACTTCGAAAACCGCTCGATGCGTTCTGTAAGTCTGTTCATCGGTCAAGTTGAAACGGGAATACCGTGTAGGTGCACCGGTGCGCGGAGAAACGCGCTTATTTCAGAAGAAATCAGGAATTTGCTTCGTTCAACTTCCAACCATGCGTCTCACATTCGGCCCATCTACATTTCGGATAGCTTGCTAGGCAAAAATTGTCGATTCGAGAATCGTATTACCCACGACTTTGTCGCCGCAGAAAGATATAAATGGAGGTCGATTACAATTGAATTTTTGAGCGTTCGGGAGAGAAAGGAAGCAACAGGCATGCGCTCGAGCGAGAGATTATTTTTGCGTTCGAAGATGAAAGACGTTCGATGCTTCGTGACATTTGATCCAGCGTCAACGCTTTCCACGCCACTGATATTTGATGACACGGATACCTTCGACAATTTCCAAAGTTGATTGAACTTGCCTTGTTAATCGTTTCTTCTTACCGTTTCTATCGAAACTCGTTTCCATTATTTCTGAGTACGATTCCTTCGTTAATGCGATTGACATGTCTATCGTGTAATCCGTAATTAGTAATAAGTAGTTCGCCGATTCGCTACTCATTGTATCTTCAAAAACACGGAACTGACCAGTCGCAAAATTGCCGCGTTTTGGCCTTGGCCAAAAAGTTACCGAGCTTGGCACACAAGAGGCCACGCTCGTTTCTCGAGGATGTGGGCATGACTTGCTCGCATCATTCGCTCTTAAAACTTGGAGGTCGTACTTACGTCATCGTGAAAAAAAAATAATCAGCCACGGGAAATATTATGCTGCTCGAATGGATTTTTTCTCCTCACTGGAAATTGTACTACAATGGTTGCCGAATAATCTGGTTTTGGACAGCCAAAATGCACGGTCAGGATGGAATAAAATGATCGTTGAAACGGAGTGAAAATAGAAATGATGTTCTTGGTAAAAGTTGGCACGTTGACAACGTTCAATTTACTCGAATTGCACGGATACCGGATCATCTCTGTTGCTCTTTTTTAACAATTAAGCTAGGTATAACAGTAAAGAAACAAGCTGCGTGGTAGTTACGTGTGTTGCTATATTCGTGATTCAGCGTGAGAGTTAGAATAAAATGTAGTTGAAATACGGGATTTTCACTCTTCAACGGGTTTAAAACAAAATGCATTTCTTTTCATAGCTACGCGACCTAAAGCTTCTAAGCGTATCTTCAGGTAAGAAAGAAAGCAGAGTGCGTCATTGAGGGGAATAAATAAACCGTGACATCGGGAAAATGAGAGCGGAGCGAGTACGCTAGATACTCTCAATTTGCTCGATCAACTGGAGAAAACAGATATCATTTCATGTTTGCATCACTCCATGAATTCTTGTTTCTTAAGCACTTTATTTTCCATGAACGTGCAGTGGACAGTAGCAATTAATATTCTTAATTAACACGCGATAAATTAACTGTGAAAATGTATTTTTGCAGGCATCCACGATCGATGGTCGCCGAAAGGGTGCGTGCCTCTTCTGTCAAGAATATTTTATGGACTTGTATCTTCTCGCCGAGCTGAAAACAATTTCTCTAAAAGTGACTACGGTCGATATGCAGAAACCGCCACCTGATTTCCGTACCAACTTTCAAGCAACGCCACCGCCAATTTTAATCGATAACGGCGATGCAATATTAGAAAACGAGAAAATCGAACGGCACATTATGAAGAACATTCCCGGTGGACACAATCTCTTCGTGCAGGACAAAGAAGTGGCTACCCTTGTTGAGAACTTGTTCAGTGTATGTATAAGTACTAAAACCGCTTTGCCGAGAAACTGCTACTTTCTCGCCGAGAGCGACCGCTAAGTATATACGCAATTTTTGTTCTAGAAATTGAAACTGTTACTACTGAACGCGAAGGATAAGGATAAAGACCCGAAATCCTCGTCCCTGATGGCACACTTGCGCAAAATTGACGAGCATCTAGGTCGTAAGGGTACTCGTTTCCTCACAGGCGACACAATGTGCTGTTTCGACTGTGAGCTTATGCCACGACTCCAACATATCAGGGTGGCTGGAAAATACTTTGCGGACTTCGAGATTCCGGAAACTTTAGTGCATCTCTGGCGATATATGCATCATATGTATAGGCTCGATGCCTTTTTACAAAGTTGCCCGGCGGACCAGGACATTATTAATCACTACAAGTTACAACAGGTGTGATAGATACTAAAGAAACTAGAAACTCTTGTTATTTCTTGTTTATCATTTAGTTTATGCTTTACCAAAATTATATTATCGTTACAGAGCATGAAAATGAAGAAGCACGAGGAGTTGGAGACTCCAACGTTTACGACCAGTATCCCAATCGAGGTCAACGACGACTAGGCTGGACCTTTGTCGTCGGGTCTATGATCTCGTTACTTTGATGCAGAAAAATTGTCGACATCGGTGTAGATATGAGCGGTATGAACAAGATGACGCGGAGTAAACTTTTCTGCGAATGTTCCAGTTTAACAGGAAAAGTCCACTATTTATAAAAAGTATATGGAGTCTGAGTACTCTTAGGAAAAAGTTTCCGTCATCTAAGATTTGACCACGCCAATACCGCTACACCGATTTATATAACATTTTTGCTACATACATTTGATAAATTATCATCGACACTCTTTTATGGCCTACACTGATGCAGAACAAGTAGCTTTTTTACCGCAGAAGACAGGAGAAGATACATATATAAGTGTACTAAGGCTTTCGAGAATCACTTGTAGGCGTATTCAGAAAACTTAAATATTTTCCTTTCCTTTCTTCCCATATTTTTTTCTTTCTTTCTCTTTATTTTGTCTTTGTTTCTTTGCTACGTATGCATTACGTACGTAGTCGTCATTTGAGTAGCATTATTCTTAGAAAAGGCATTTTAATCTTTTACGTATACTTTAGATCAAACCTAACGTATCTTTTTTGTTTTAAGAAGCAATGTGTTTCATCGTCTTTCGATGACGAATAATGTTAAAAAGGTAGAAAATGCAAAAGAGACGTATGCATTTGAATTAGGATTAATGGTCGACTAGATTAATATATTTCTTTACTGGCTTTTTCTTTTCTGAAAACTGCATTGTATTTATCATGCATCTAACAACTAATCAATAAACTGAATTATTGATGGTTATTCTTCAACAGCCATTTACACTGTCCATTATATTCCTTCATCGTATTAACCTGAGTAAGAGGAGGTATTCTAGTCTCATGTACTCCATATGAACATCGAATATTTTTTTTTGTCAAGATATTTCTTCTACAACACCCGATTCGAACAAATTATGGTGCATACGTTTCTTCTAATCTCTACGTTGTAATAAATTCGAAGGCGTGAGAAATTTGATACGTTGTGATATGATTGTTATGAATTTCCTTGCAGATGCTGATTTTATAAAAGTGGAAAAAAAAATCATCGTTTGGAAACAGACAGTGCTTATTTTTCATTAATATTCTTCAATGATCTAACAAACTCGGTATTTTGTATTAGTAATAATTTTTTAAATCGTTATTATTATTATTATTATTATTATTATTATTATTATTATTATTATTGTACTATTTTGGTTTACACTTGTAGAAACGAATATATCGATATTTACATTGAGTTTTAGATTGATAAATACTTTTGTTTATCATCTTACTTACTTCCAAAAACGATTCAACGATTCTGCAAAGATACAAAATAGAGTTTGATAAAAACAAAAAGGAATATATCTATCTTAACGACGCCGCTGTCCATTCGTACGAGTTTTAAAATAGCACGCGGCTTCCCCTTCCTCGTATCTGCAACTAACTATTACGACGTGTCTTCCATTCATAAATAGGAAAGCACTTGTCGTATGAGCAGCCATCTTGACTACGTAGTCAATAGAGGTTCTTTTATTTTGAACTTTGAAAACGTAAACTTGTACTTAGACCTTCGATAATGGGTAAATAATAAATTAAACGAAAATATTTCAAATATATGGAAATATTTTCGCCAAGTAAAAAATATTTGAAAACATATAGTTTTTTTGTTGATTAGTGTCGTTTCAGTACGCAGTGCACAGCTGATCAGTGGTCTCAACGGACGGTTGCCGCTTGTTCGTGCTTTAAAATCTTCGAAAACGAAAGAAAAGTTACTGTTATCCGAGTGCCTATACAGTGACAGTTAAAATTTCATTCTTCAGTACGTGAATAAAATTGTTGCGTTTGCCAAGTGTCTGTATCAAGTGTTCGAAGTGAGAGCGGTTACTGGTTCCTTGTTCGTTGGACATTTCCAATGGTTGCCGTCCGGTGAGTTTTAATCTTACGGTTTAAAACCGGATTATACGTTAAATATGATTGAAATACAATAAGACTTTCAAAAATTCTTCGATCGTCGTAATTTTGTTAGTAACGATATTATAGAAAGCGTGAAATCTAGGAGAATAAAAAGGGAAGAATAATTTATTTTCTAGTTGTGCCTGTTCCACGCGATAAGAAATACATTAGCGACGGATTGTATTGAAAACTGTAATGTATTAACGATACATTTGTATTGATTTGCATTCATCGATAAATAGACGATGGTTTAAGCTTTGAAAGATTTCTCTCAATCTTATTTTATTTTTATCGCATTTTTCTATCTGATAAAGACGCTAATTTTGAAATCATGTTACGATAGTATAGCAACGTAAGATCAACTCGTTTCTAATATAATATATTTCACCAAATATAGATTAATAGCATACTCGGACTCGTGTCAGTGATTGATCGATGCAACAAGCGTCTTGTTAATAACTTTTCGTCGGACTTTCATTCCCGTATGTTATCGCGTTTCTTCTATTTACGTATACATTGTCGTCAATGGTTCCCGTAAACTGGTCTTTCTTTATCTCGTGTGCAAACAAAAAAATGTCGTTGCTCCTTTAGATACGCTACCTATAGGTATTTTCAAAAGCGAAAAATCGTTATAGTTCTATTTTTTCGAGCGTGTCATAGACATAAGAGGAACCAGGGTCAATCGATGCTACGAATTCTAATCTTCACCGACGATTTTAGCCGCTCTGACGTGCCACTCGATTTAAAAACTACGCTAGTCAGTTGAAAAGTCTTGTTTCGAGCAGCCATTATGAACGTAAACACTACACATACTATATTCCCCAATATGTATCGTAGGAATAATAAACCATGGCCAATATTTATTCGCAACAATTTACTACCTGCTTCAAGTTACATAACCGATCGTTAATTACCATAACCTCGATCTTTCGCGATTCGATATAATCGATCGACTTTGAGCCCGAAACAACTTCTCGAACTATCATAGCGCTTTTAACCGAAAGGTCAAAATTCAAAGTTTTTGGCATATACGGAAGAAAATTTTAGAGGTCAGTGATATTTATGATATCGTGGAGGAGCTTTTTATACAGTACACGAACTTTATAGACGATGAGTTATCGGAATAGTAAAAAAGCGCACATAGTATCGGAGATATGTGTGTACACATAAAGCTTCTTTCATACAGCTGATAGGTAACGCATTTTCGCATTATCGTTATGACCTCAGCGATTAATCTACGACAAACATACGAGATGAATTACCGTAAAATTTGATGAAGAATAAAAGAGTGACAGAGAAAGAAGGTTAGAATCGTCGATTAGTCTTCGAAAGGTTTACGTAGTGGTCAACGCTGACGTTTTGTACGCGAAAAAACGTATAATATTATTTTCAGGATAGTGTTTATTTTTGCCTCGAGCCGTAACTTATCGTAGCTCTGCTTAACGTTAGCGTTGCGTCCCCCGTCAATTATTATTCTTGGTTTCTTATTTTTGTCTGCCACTAAGCTCGACGCACTTTTTTCTCTTTTCCTCGCTGTAGTTTCAGTCGGCCATGATTGCCCTGTTTTCATGCAGTTCTAAAATATTGCGCGTAAAACGACGAGTTATTGGCAGCCCGAGTAATTTGCATTTCTTGTTCCCGTGACTGGAAATGTAAATAATAGCTCGAACGAGAATCGAAACGACTCTTCTCTGTGAACAAAAGCAATTATCGCTTTGCCATTCCCTGCAGATTTGCCGCGTCTTTTTAATCTCCATTAATGGCTGCGTGCGTTACTTCCGGCCAATGGGCGTGCGGCTTTATGAAGCAACAGGTGTCGAAGCAACTTAAACAGGATGGTTTCTACATCTCGTACGATCAACATTATCTCGTTGGAATATAATTTTCTTTGGACGTGTAACGTTCGGTCAGACTTTTTAATCGATATACACGTCATCGCGTTGCAGGATGGAAACAAGTCGTTTGGAAGTGTGACATTTGCGCATAGTTATTGGAACATTTTCGAAGAGTTGCTAAACGGGACTGAAAGGATCCGGACGTTTAAAAAGAAACGTCGAAAATTATTCCAAATGCGTGAAAATACTCGTGGAATTTGCTTTTCCCTGCATTGCCAGGAGTAGACGAAAACAGCCACGCTGTGTCTCCTGGGTATTTCATGACACAAATATCTTCCCGGCATGTTGGAATTCCGCTTTTCCTTTTTCGCCTGTCCCGACGAACGACGTTCTCGTACCCCTCTTAAAATCCCCTCTGTGTCACTGATAGAAACATCCTGCGTGTCTGGTGCAATTAAAAGATGCTTCTCCTTTGCTCTCGGGCCGAGGAAAAAATATATTCGGGTCGCTCCCAATCGGAGACAGCCTCGTGGAACTGTCGCGTCCATCGGATCAAGCCCTCGCCGAGTAAACCGCGATGGTTGCGCGTCGAGGCAATGGCACGTGCCTCGTATTTTCCCTCGACGAGGATTCTCCGCTTTGGCAGAGGGAAGCGAGTTAGACAGAGATTTGCACAATCCGCGACGGGGTCGGAACGAATTCGATTCGCCATTGCGTTTCCGCATCGAGTACCTGCCCACACGCGTTTATTTGCATTTTCGTCATTTGCGTGTCGAACAACCGACTGTTTGGCAGACATTGCCACTAGGACCAGTAAGAGCACCGTGTGACAGATACACCGTGACGCGAAAGTAACGCAAGTTTCGCTTTGCGTTCTTGATTCGTATATACCAACTCTAGACTAGCGGTGTCAAACTCACGCTAGAACGTAGGCCAGGAATTTAGAGAGTCTGCTGGTTACACAAAGAAAACCTGTGAATTAAAAAAATATTAGTAAATAGAGAAAAATTTCGCTTTAATATTTTTTAGTTTTTCCTTAACGATTTAATAAATTATAAGTATTATTATTACCTCTGGTAATAAAACATAAAAGAAATCGAGGAAATTAATATCTTCCGTCAGAATCTTGGCATCTGTTGATATTTCATAATATTATAAATATAAATGATATTTGATAAACGAAGAATTTTTATTTTTGAAATTTTGTTTTACCGTTTTAGTATAATTTCAAGCTCTGATCCGCGTTCGAAGATCTCGTCTCTTTCCCACCACTGGTCTAACCTATTATCCATCTGTTTACCGATATAATTGTATGGATCTTTTCACGATCTTTTTTCGCGTAATTGCGTCACTTTCGTACTACCGTGTACTTTTCGATCTCGTTGGCGACGGAAATCTCGGGTCGCAACTCGAAATACAGAACACGATCGGAAAAGTCACGTTAGAAAGTAGCGGCGTTTAAAAGAAGACACTCCGGTTAGGGCGAACGCTCTCCGACCGGTGGTCCAAGCGTACGAGCGCGTGCCAATGAACAGTTTTCTCTCTGATTGATGCCTCACTCACCTGACACATCGGTCTGCCAGGTGCGAGGCAACGGAAGAAAGAGAGCCGAATTATTAATTCTGCTTAGCACTTTATTCTCTTCTGTGGACCAGTGCCAAGTGCGAATTGCACGCGCACAGTTTCTAACCTCTTAGTTTCTTCTGATCCGAGCGAACGACCCTCGGCCCACTCCTTACTTGCCTTTTGCGGACTTTCGATTCGAGATCGAAACTCATCTGTGCTCGAAAATGCGTAGAAGTAGCTGCGACTCGGACGGTATGTCGACTCGTGAGTCTTACGATTTTTCATATTATCTCTCTTCACTCTTTGCACAAAGATTCTCGTCTATGAACGTTAATAACGTTTCGTCGAAATTCAACGTCGCGGATACATCTCACACGGTAGTCGTTAGCGTCTTTTTTCGTTTAGCGAACGTAACTTTTATTTTTCTTTCCTCTCTTTTACTTTTTCTTTTTCCCTCATTTTTTGGCCATTCAACAAAGGGAGTCGACGGTAGAATTTCGATGGCTGAGAAGGAATTTTTGCGAACGTTACGATCGTTTGGGAACGTTGATAAAAATCCCAAGTTTTTCGATGCGACGATGCACCTGCAGAGGCATACGCGCATGCGTGCACGCGTGGGAGCGTGGCACGCGCAGTGCCGGCTAATTATGTGGCACTCCTACGTGCCACGAGGCACAGGTGTCCACCGTTTCTTTACTCGCTGCCAATTCCGTAACGTAACGGGTGTCTCAAAGTTATCGACCTCTGAAACTCGTTGAGACGCTAGGCAAATTTCTCCTTCGAGTCTAGCTTCAGTCACGTGGCAAATTTCGTTCAAAAATTCGTTTAAACCGCGTCCAGGTAACCATTGCGAATGCGGAAGAATCGCAAATGGACGTGTACTGCGCTATACCGTGAATCGAAAGCGAAGCAGGGGAACGTGGAAAGATAATCGATACCGAATAGATTTTTCTCGAACACCGGGTACGACGTAGGTAAATTCATCCGATTTTCGGTTCACGTGAAAAATGGGTCAGAGAGTCGCAGGTTTAAATAAAGAACGACGCGTCGCGGAAAGCGGATACGCTTTCGTTCCTTTCTCCCTTTTTCCTATGGGAGAGAAAGGGCAATCGCAGTGAACGACGCGCGCAGCGTGCGCGGTACGATTCGAGCGATCGAGAGCTCGATAATCGTTCGGTTAGGGAAGCCTTACGAACTTCAGGACCCTCTGCTTACCGGTCGAAGTTTAGTGTGGCCTTCGCTATAATTAAGAGGCCGTAATGCACGATCATGTAATATTTCAATGCGTCTCCAACAAGCGAGACAATTTGCCCCGGCAGGTTCCACGGTCTTTTCCTTTTCATTTTCTCACGACTTTGTCTCCATTAATCGCATCCCCGTCCACTCATCCGCGGTTGAATAATTTGAAACACTTTCGCGCACCGACACGAAACTGCACGAAACGTCGTATTTGGAGGCCATCCAAATCGTTTATCCGCTAAACTACAAAATTTCGACGATCTTGCCGGATTCCTGCTTCTCTCGCTCTCGTTTCGTACGTCCGTACGTCTGTGCTTCTTCGGAAACCAGACCCACCAACGAAGCACCAACCGATAATCGAGTTTACTCTTCGTACGGATACATTGTCATTTTCGCTGTTCGCGCTCTGTCTCGACCAACGCGATCAACGGACAGTGTGCGGCGATAGTTTATTGGCCGTGGACGTATTTGTTCTTTCGACGAATCATACGAACTGGTGTAACGAGAGACCTGGCACCCACAGGTAGGCCTTGCCAGGAGGATGGGGGCCCACGATGGGGGAGTGCCATTGCTCTAACATCGCTATCATGCAGCTGTTCCATGAGCTGAAGCAGCAGTTCCCTGCGCTCCCTGATCACGTCGTTTCCCAGTGCATCGCCCAGGTATAGGTGCTCTTTGTCCGCCAGATATACTGCTCCTATGCTGGTCTCCCGGAAAACTCGATCCAGAAGAACAGACGAGTCCGCGAGTCGCCATTCACCGGGTACATTGCGCGAAACCACGCATCCGACCTAACCTCTATCGGATCGAGTTCTCCGGGGAGGGCTCCTTGATTGCACAGTGTGCCTCGTAATCAGTTTAGAGAGATTTGTTCTTTTCGCTCATCCGTCATCGCTAAAACAAACAATCATCGCAATAACGACTAACCACACACGCGCGCACCACGAGTACCATAACCCCTCGCATTGCAAATTAACGGCAAACTTTTCTCTCCTTTATCATTTGCACGAGCGTGGAACCTGTGTGTATAGACGTCCTTTGTGTTGACCATTTGGTTTTTCTCTAATCGCTCATTCGAGAACAACGGTGTCTCTTAATCAGCAAAGATTGACCGCACTAAACAGTAATTTCATTTCTCGTATACATATACGCGTTGGAAGTTCTGGGTTTTCCGGTCACCACCTGAGAGTCTCTTACCACCTGTCTAACTCTCGCGTCGCGACCATTTTTTCCAGTATGCTCCGGTATATACGTATCTGCAGACAAGGAAACCTCAGAACTATCCGCTGTCGAGAATACGATATGCGCCAAAGCCTTGCAACGTTTAACCCTTTGCGGTCTACCTTTTTCGCATCAGCGATCTCCGATTACCTCGGACTATATCCCGGAATTTAAAACCAGAAGCAAGTCCGCCGATCGTACCTGGGTATCCCAATCGGACCGCAAACGGTTAACTCGCATCACTCCTCCAGGAAGTGTCTAGTCGAAGAGTCTGGCAGCAACGTCTTTAACGTCCGCTGTTAGGATCCAGGAGAGGCAGGAACATTTCCCAATCGCAAAGCAAAACAAAAACAAACATAAATAAACGAAAAACGAAATAAAAGAAAAGGTCACGGTGAACTCGAACAGAGTGAGTGGAAATCGGCTGACCCAAGATGCATCTGTGCGTTGCAGAACAGCCACGATCGGGAGACATGCGCGAGAAGTCTTCGTGCCACCCAAGAGTCACGACAGTCTCCGGGCGCGTTCCCACCGGCCGCACTTTGCGGCGTCCTCCAGCAGCAACAGCAACATCATCAACGAGCGAACCACGTGGCCACGCATCAGCAACGTTGTTGCGCGATGAGCCAAGCGCAACGCGGCTGCGGCACGAGCAACAACGCGAGCAACAACTCGAGCAGCAACACGCGACCGCACAGACCAGCCTCGTTGGATATCGGTATGGCACGACGCTGTCCTATCAGCTGTACACGAATCGCCGCGATATCGGGCTCGTCACCGATCGCAGCTAATCCCGTCGGCACCCCTTCTTCAGCGCCAGCAGTCTGCACGACGCGCGGTTTCTTCGACGATTGCACGGGACCGAGCGACGCGAACTGCCTTAACAAAGTCCAGAACGCGGGAAACGAGCCAGCCGGATTCGAGCTGAACGTGAACGTTGCCTGCAGTCCTGCTGGCAATCGCGGTACGCATCTGGGAGAGCAGAGGTTTGCTACGGGAGAGATAGAGGAAGTCGAAATGTATACGGATGGATTTCAGGATATCGCGTGACGAATAGAACAGTGCTGTCCATAGGGGTAATTACTCTATCCGTGGACAGCATTGGATCCAGGGTGTCGGGACAGCCTTCTCGCGAGATCTTTTATTTTCGGCATACTTAAATCTCAGAGAATAGCGTGTGTAGGTAACATCGTATGGAATATACATACATGTGTGTACATACTATGTATATATCGAGGAAGCAATTTATCCGATGTTAGAAACGTCGCATCGCGAGTCGCGCTTCGCGAAGCCTGTGACAGTAGGTTGCAACATTGTTGCAAGTATAGTTGCGATGATAAATTTGTTGCGAGAAGCTGCTCGGTTGCGCAGCCTGTAATTACGTTGTCCGAATGCATTGTGACCGGTATATTCGAAGGAGAGTTAAACAGGTTTCTTCCGCGTACAGCGATGGCAGCGATTTCAATTTCGATCACGTTACCTCGTGGCCTTGTGCGGTGGAGATCCTGTTTGCCTGTTAGTCGAGCGAAACGCTTCGCTGTCGTTACATGCCGTCGACTTCTTTTCATCTTTTGCACCTCTCATCGTCGATCGCGTAATTCAATTGAACTTCGTAACAGAACACGTTTCTTTTTCTTTTCTATCCTGGCCGACGCATCAGACTTTCGAACGGTGCCAACGATCGGTGGTGCCTGTAAACGAAGCGATCTGCTCCTCGATCCACGAACTCATTATGCCGAGCCGTTACTGAACGTGGAGAACACGGGGCAGATCGATCACACGCGAAGCTACACCTCGGTTAGCCTGACGCTAAGGCCACCATCCTCGGAACCGCAACCTCCGATCGACATCAGATCACAGGGCTCGAGTCTAACTTACTCGAGTTCTTCCCTGGATCCTCGGGGCTTTCAAAGCCGTCTTCAGATCAGCATCGGCGCAGGAGCCGTTGGCAGTGTGGCGGCTGCGAGAATCAGACCCCCGATGGGCCCGATCAGGCCCAACAGCTTGATACCGCCGGTACAAACCGGTCCTCAGAGGCCACCAGGTCCGTATTCATTTCGTTTATCGTGATTTCTATGTTTTCAAGCTCTTCGAACACCGAATCTACGCACCACGAGTGGAATGATAGATAGGACTTTCCAGTAAATCTCTGGAGGGATGAACGAATCGTGAATCGGTTTGTCTGATTGGAACGTGAAAGTTGCAGGTCTTCCAGCAGGACCACCTAGTCAGTTACCGAGGCCCACGACGACGATGAGCGCCCCAACCACACCTTCTGTACCATCGACGACGAATATCGTTCCTCCCATTAGCCTTCCAACGACACCGTCAGGACCGACGACGACCTCGCCGCCCTCCAGTCCCCTTGGCGAACGGATACAGGCCAATTCTGATCAGAATCGATCGCCGTTGAATCAAGGTAAAGACCTCCGCCGTAGCTATATCCTCCCGCATTTGAAAATAACCTTTTAGACCGGCTATTTTTATTATCCGCTATATATTTCCTCTCGATACCGCAAAAATGGTCCGCTTTGTTTTCCGAATCCTCGTATCATAGCAATCGCGTAAACGTATATTTACCTGCAAAAACCACTCCGTCGCACATACTACGCCCACGCATGTAACACTGAGAACGATATTTACGCATTCCTGACCCCACGCTCCGTCTATACATAGCCACGCTTGCGGTTACTCTACGTGGACCACCTGATCCGCTTTTCCCTCTCACGAGCAGCGTCGTCTCGCTGTTGACGCGTTTCCTGAACGCTACAATTCACATTTCATGTTTCTCCTTTAATCGTTTACACGCGACGAAATAAAACGTCCACGAGGATCGATTCCAGGCCAATTCGTACCGATGGTATCGCCCAAGGGAATTTAAATGTGCACAGACGCACGTTTGTAGGACGAATCAGAATTGTGAAATGAAAATTTCGCTCTTAAATGGAACTAATCCTAATCGTGCTGGTTGTATTTTCTTCAACGTGATGAACGATATTAATTAGTTTTTGTTGCATCGTAGTGGCGGAGCATCAAAAGAAATTGGTCGCAGAGCAGTTAGCAAGGAAAGAGAGACTCGCCAGGGAATTGAGAGCCGAGAAAGGACGACTCGAAGCGATGAAAAAAGAATTGCAATCCCTCACGAGGCCCTTTGACTCTTCGATGCCTCCTCAGGTTTGTCTCATGAATCGCAATGTAAAGTAACATGCAACGTAATAAACGTTATGTAACCACTATTTTTCAGGAGCTAAAAAAAAAGTTGAGGAGCGAGATCTATCAGCTACAAGTTGAATGCGACAGACTCGCAGATGAAGTGGATCAATGGTCTGACCCAAGAGGTAATAAAATAATTTCCATTGATTTCTCGTACAAAATCCTATTGTTCTATTCGCCTTTGCAGTACCTCTGGGTGAAACGAACGAAAAGTTTTATCAGCATATTTACACCGGTCAACCTCTGCCATCGAGGTCTGTCAGTTCCAACCCACCGCCTTTGCCAAGTCAGCCACCCGCCTGGCAACCGGAATTGAGTGGTAACAACATTGACAGAGAAGAACGAGACGGGCCTTCTTGGGTCTGTAGAATGTGCACGTTTGATAATCATCCGTTAATGAACAAATGCGAGCAGTGCGATATGCCGAGGCTGTTGGATCACGGAAACACAGGTACGACTTCCGGAAAATCGATAGAGGACCTTACGACCTCGTTAATACGCTTGGACGTCGAGCTACCGTCTCCGTCGCCTCTGGAATAGTAAACTCGAGTGACTTAACAGCATGTTTCTTTCCTGTGACAATTTTGTGAGTCGACAAATAACTTTCGAAGGATGACATTTTGTGAACTATTAAACAAGATACATTGATCTCTGTACTTCGATGTTGCGATGGAGCACGCAACCAAAGGTGATATTTTTTTCCTACGATAAAATATTCGTTTCTGAGCGAGAAAGCTGTGTAATAGTAACATACTACGTATATAAAACGAATTTATTATGTACTTAAACGTAACGCATGGACGTGTGCAATATTTTAAATGATGGATGGTTATCCATGATAAATGGTTAAGAAAACTATATGGACCTAATCTTAATATAAAAGCATGTATATTGTTCGAGTGTTTCCATTTTTATTTTCGAGTGTCTTTATTTTTTAATTATTAATAGTTTAATTGAGCATTATGCTGTATATCTGAACATTTCAAAGAATTGAGAGTCGCAAATTGGTGAGTAATGAATTCTTCAAATCTTGATTATATTAATTGGAATTATTCGTAAATATGTTAGTCGGAACGGCAATCGTAAAATTTGTAATGTACGATTTACAGGCGAAACTCAAGATATTCATATACGAGTTACACATCATCATAACTTCTCCCCAAGCCGTGAGTATTTTCCCAGATAATTTTTCGGCCACGGGATAAAGATATAAGATCTCATATGACATAAAAGGTATTTACTCTTTTTCCAGGGACAGTGCATAGTTGGGTGGTATGATGTGAACTACATTAGAAACGTGAAAACTGTATATAAAATCATTATTTAAATTAAATAAAAAGTTGCAGCCAACAGATCGGGAAAGGAGAACAAAAATTCAAACAACTTAATTGAGTTTAATTCTTTTTTATTTATGAAATCAATATACAATTTGATTTTTTAACACGTGAATACAGGTTTAAAATTGGTAAACAGCATACCGCGAAATGTACCATTTGCACTTCTGATTACTAAATAATCAACGACTTATCAGTAGTCTGACTCCTATTTGTATGAGTTTTGAAATACTATTTAAAATACAAGTTATTTGTAGTAAGTCCTTTAGTATAATATTCACCCATTATATAGCTGTACCCCGTTCCAAGTTTAGTTTTGTTTCGCGTGTGTATTCTCCATAGAACCTTTCTAGCTTTTGATTAAATTTAGCGTTGCGTTCGTTGATGTAATCGATGTCAGCATCGTCATTGTGCATTCTTCTTCTACTATACTTCTCTCTCTTTGCAATCCTGGAAACAAATATAAGAAACTTATGATATATGAACAATGTAAAACGTAATAGGCTATAAAATACTAACTGCTTTTCCAAGTCTTCGACCATTTTGTCAATAGCCTCTTTTTTATCTTCGTGAAGACCATGTAATATAGTGTTTCTATCCCCATAAAAAGCTGAACCTAATTTATCTTTAGCTTCGTCGTATGCCTCCATATTTGGTTTAATATTTTTTACAAGTCTATTATATTGTCGAATAGCTGCCTGTTCATAGTCTGAAAAACCTGGATCTGGATTCTTTTTATTCCTTTTCTTTCTTGCAATACGTTCTGCTTCTGTTGCATCAATGTGAAGTAATTTTGTTCTTTCGTAATCTTCTCCCTGTAAAATATACGATATAATACAGTACCAATTTAATTTGTCCTATAAGTAATAACTTTTAATATTGCTTACTTTCTCTTCTGCAGCTTTTCTGGCAGCTTCATCTTGAATAATCCATTCTGCTTGTCTTTTACGTGACTCCCAATTTGAAGGAAGCTTATTTCTCTTGTCTTCCTCTACAACTTCTTTATGGTTTTGTTGTCTCGCCTCGTTCTGCGAAGTAAACATTCCGTAAGAAGTATTTTGCGAAACTACTCCTAAACTTACTCCCAAACTACGTTTGGAAACAAAAAAGAAATAAAGTCAAATCAAGAATTATAGGTTATACCATTTTGTACTTACTCTCTTCGTATGCAGTTCTCGCAAACGTTTCATTCTTTCAGCATGTTTCTGTGCAGATGTTTTTTCTTTCGTACCTTCACTTTGCATTTTGAATTAATATTAGCTTTGATTATTTTCCTTAAAACGTAATTCCTTTTCACTCGTTAAAAGGTTAGAACGCAATTGTTTAGACGAACAACATTATCGAGATGTAAGTCGTAGTACGTTACGTATACCAGAAGCTCCGACAGATGTCAGCAAGTTACGATTTGTCGACGAAAAAGGCGAACTCCGTTTGCCCGACTTCTGTGGGTGGTGGATCGATTGAAATTGATCTTCTGCTCTCGAGCGAACGAGAGCGCAATAAGCGGATCTTGTCGTTCAATTCGTAGAGCGGTGATACCGTTGTGGTAGGCATCGAGGGAAAACTCAGGTGATTTTTTGTCGACCGGTAGAGGTTTGAGGCGGTACCGGTCGATCACAAGTTGTGTTGAGTTAGCAGCACTTGTGAAGGTTCGCGTTTGCGCGAACCCCGACGGTGAAACGTGACGCAGAATTGTACGCTGGCGGCGGCTGGGCCGCAGAAGAAAGTTCGCGCTCTGCGGGCTTTTGGGGATTACCCGCGAAGCGCAGTCAGGGTGCCGCGGAAGCTCTCCTTGTGGCGATTACGAGAAGGATAGAAGAGATACATACGCGGCACCTCATTACGACACTCTCCCGGACAAATTAATTCTCCCTATACCGTTATGGAGACTCTCGAATCTAGTCGCGTCTGCCGCCTTTGCGGTAAGCAATCCGGTATCTCAATTAATATTTTTGACAAGAATGAGAATCACGTGAAGAAAATCAACGCTATTCTCCCGGTCATGGTATGTCATATCACTCTTCTCCCTTCTACATTCATATCGTTTCGTTATGAATTTCACGTGCATTTGGTGGCCTTTCCTGACATCATATACGCCCCCTCCTGAACTATCTTTTTGCCACAAATTATACTACGACCACGCAACAATGTTTCTTTTGAATGAAAGTTATTCCAATGTATTAAACTGATGCCGTTTTATAGATATTGTATTTGGATAGGGTATATTTATTACAGGTTTAATCTTCTTCGTAAATAGGTTCATTAGATGTATTTATGATACTAAAAGTGAGGTTATTGTTACTTCGCGCCAATGTGCTTCATAAACACTTTTAACGTATTGCGTAACTTCAAATCGTAACTATTTCTTTTAATTCTCTATTATTGCTAGAATACATATAATAAGTGTAGGAAGAGATATTTGAAAGTGGAATTGCTTTTTAGATGTCGAAAGTAGCAAACATTTTATATTGAAAATAATATCGCACATGAAGGGTTGGTCAGTTCTTTTGAACCAGTTTAAACCAGTTGAGTATTACATATTTCATTAGATTAAATTCTTCTAAACGAGTTATCATTTAGAATAATTAAAGACGCAGGGGAAAAGTTACAATTATAGTATATTTATAGTTTCATAAAGAGTACATGTACTTCGCATTAGAATAACTTTAATTCGAAAAGAAGTATTATGCGCAAGTTCCTGATATCGAGAAATTTGTTTATTACATAACTTCTTGTCTCTTTTTCAATGAAAAATATAACTAATTGTTCAATCGATGCCAGTGGAGTTTTATTATAATTTATCTTGAAGACTTACTTTTCGCTCTAAAGGCATTACAGAATTCATTGTCTTTTATTTTGTGCAAAATACAATCCAAATAATATTTTATAATTTCACGTTACGAAGAATGAAACAATCCTTTGATATTTCACCCTTCGCCTTCCTTCGCGTATTGTGTACACATGTACATCCCCACCTCGTTTCTCATAAGCGACCACGTGAACTTAACTCGCATTCGCAACGGCTGTGTATCCTACAGGTACACGAAATGGATCTGTTGCCGAAACACATGTGTCATCGATGCAGTTACAAGCTGGAGGAGTTTCACAAGTTCTACGTGGATTGTCTAAAAACAGATGCGGACTTGAAAAGTCAGTTGTCCTGGATGCGAAAGGAGGACTCGAAGGAGAGAGTCGGCGTGCCAATGGTGCACATAGAGAATATCAAGATCAAAGTAGAGCCGCCGGATTGTGACATATATGACATAAATCCAATGGTCAGTGATGTCGACTACATAAATTCCATGAATTCGGTAGCTTTCCCGGTAAATGGTGTTCAATCCAATAATATTTCCGACCGTATAACATACACTGCGTATGCACGTTGCGGTTGTTACTGTGATAAAGCGGACCAAAGTAATCAAACTATACCTACGAATTATGAGAACAATATATCAAGATGCAGTAGGATAAACGACGTCAGACCGGGTAATAATGATTGCGTCAATAAATCGCAGACCGTGAAGGGCGATTTATTAACGAATAACACACTCGAGCAACAATCAAATTTAGTGCGGCTTGTCAACGAAGTTAAAGATTCGAGGAGGATTAGACAGACTTCTTCGGGTTTGAGTTTAGCGAAAAGTAAACCTACCAAGGCAAACAAAAAGGCCGCAAGAGGTACGATCGTTCGAAATTTGAGACCTAGGAAGGGTTCTGTGGATTATGTTGGAGTTAGAAAAAAGCTTCCCGCATTTTTACCATCTAGGAATGAAAATAAGTCAAAAACTGTGGAGACAAAAATGTCAGTTTCGACGGGATTCGATGTGACGCAAATCAAAATGGAGAAACTCGATAATTTTGAGGGGCGTATCTTAAGACCTAGGAAAGGGACCATCGACTATATAGGACCAAAACGAAAATATTCACGTTCCAATAAGAACCAAAGATTGCAAAACGACGAACATCAAGTAGATAAAACAAAGGTTCGGAATATTGCGAATAAATTGAAACTACCGATCGAAATGGTTAAAACAATTCCAAAACAGTTAAAAAATAGTATACAATTAGGCATAAAAGAGGAACAACTCTCGGATCTCGAGGATTTGGTATTGGACGAGTCGGTATCAGCTGCCATGCTGTCGTTGACCGATCAAATTGATGCACTGCCCAATGATTATGACGTGAACGTACAAAATGGTAGAGATAATCATAATACGTTAAATCATGCACTGCATACCGGTAACTTTAGCATAGCAAAATGGAAACCTTTGCGAAATGTGTCTAAAAGTAAATTGAAATCTGGAAAAATTGGTTTGAATCGGATCAGCGGAATGAACTACTCGCCAAAATATTTAAGAAGTCAAGACGCTTGTCTCAGAAGCGGTAAGATAAGAAAACTTGATAATGTGAATGTATCGGTTAGAAAATTACGAAGAAGCCTTCGAAATCTTATAGATAGAAGTAAAACAACCAGTAAAGCTCTGATGAAGACAATCAGAGGCACTGTTACGGCCAAGATGTCCACTTCGGTGAAAATGATTGATATCAAGCATTATTGCGAGGAATGTAACACAAGTTTCGCTAACAAAGAATTGTTCAAATTGCACGCGTGCTATGGACATTGATCTTTTTATAAAATCATGGATAACGTGACATCGCATAAAGGTTTATTTTTGAAGCAGTTTACGTTACTTGTATTTGTACAAATACAATCATCATTAGATTTCATTGATTAATTATAAAATATTCTTTTTTTTTTTTTTTTTTTTTTTTTATTATGTAGATAAAGGATTCACGGAACGCCTTGAAAGTTTAAGATAAGATGATATATTCTATATAAAAAGATATATATAAATATATTTTAAGAGATATCAGATATTCATATACACGAGATTGTGATACGTAGTGAAAGGATATTAGATGAGATGTATTCATTTTACGTGTAATTAACTCATTCTGTTTTTTATTTCGCTTTACAATTTGCCCTCGTAGTTAAATAAATAGGAGTTTTTGTAATCGTTATAAACGAACAAATGAATTTATACATTTGAAAGCATATTTGTAGCTCTCGTATATCAGTAACATTTTGATGTGATACATATCATATTGCATGATGTACGATTGAAAATTTGCTATTAGCACTTCTAGAAATGATGATAATCGGGTTTGTGCAAAATAATTATAATTAGTGTTTAACGCTTTATATTCTAAACTGTTATTAAACTTCGATTGTATTATTCATTGTTATTGGATATCAAGTGCACTCACAAGGCATCCCTTTGACACCATTCGTTACTAAATGTAAAATGTTCTTTACAATTGTCTAACAATTTAATGACTAAAAAATTGCAATCATTATTTCGCAATTATGTGCTTAAACCGATGGATCGATCAATAAATTGGAAAATTAACAAATATTTTTCTATCAATTACTTCCTTGTTGGTTTTTTCCTTTTTCATTAGTTGTTCCACTCTTTGATCATTTCAATTCTGTTATTCTTTCTTTCTTGTTAATTGTTTGGTACGGCGTTTCAAAAAGGATTTTACGTTACTGAATGGGTGAGGTCGCTACGAGGCGAGCATTGAGCGAATTAAAAGTAACAAACAAACAAAAGTACACTAAGTGTCAAACGACTTCAAAAAGATGATTGATTACTTGGATTATATTATTCAGAAGCATTATTAGTAAAAAATCCGAATGTCTTCAAATCCTCAGAATTCTCCTCGTTATGAGGATGTAAGTATTTCGAATATCTTTCACTCGTTATGTTAACCTATCTCAATTTCTAAAAGACACTTGACAGTTTATTCGTGAATAGTTTATTAGTAAATTTATATTTGTTGATACGATATAATCACATTAAAAGATAGATGTGTTTTTAGTTTTATATCTACTACCTGCAATTAATATTTTATACATGTTTAATTTATCTATAGTTGATCCCAACCGAAGATGATACTTTGGGTACCTCTATTAGTCTTAGTGTGGGGGAGAATTCAATTCGAATAAAAGAAAAACCTAAGGTGACTAAACAATCAGAGCCAGAAGAAAAACATGAGGAAGAAAAGTGGTGGTTGAAGAAGCCAGAAACTTGGCTCGATGTTTCTCATGGTATTCCATTAGACATAAAAACAAAACAGTCTGCATCCCCTTCTCCAGATGTTAGTTCTTCGATGAAAGAATTCCTTGAAAAAGAAAAGATGTGCAAAGTATTTAAAGATATTATGTGTTATATAGAATAAATTTTTAAACAGTAATATGTTTCATTTTATAATTTATGGTCTTATTTTGCTTAGGCTATGCATAAGATTGAGATTGAGATGAAAGATAAGGATGACACTTTATGTGATATTTTGGCTTCTGCAGCATTTGATAAGTATCCTTCTGATTTTGAGAGTAGGTATTTTTATAATTTTCTCCATATCGTTTCTTGCGTACAATACAGCAAAGACTTTTATTCTTTTATACAGATGCAACTGACGAAGATATAGGTAGTATTTTAGAAGAAATGAGTAAAATTGCTGGAGCTTTAAGTCCAAATTCAGCTGCAGATCGTTCAAAATCCCGAAACTCAACTAAACTTCCTACAGAAGAAGAAAAATCCGTGGAAGAACTGTTGGAGGAGGCTGAAAAACTTGTAAGAAAAAATAGTAGTAATTTATCTAAGAGCGCATCAAAATCTGATACTTTAGTACCTGAGAATATTCCAGAAGATATAGAAAGTTTTAGCAGAGTTAGACAATTAGAAGCTGATATCTTTCAATTGATAGAGGAAGAGGTGCATAAAGAGACTGAAAAAATAAAAAAAAGTCCGAAGAATGAGAAGAAAAGAGACAGTAGTCCTGGATTTGAAGTCTTGTATGAAAATATAAATGGTTTTAAAGCTTTAAAATCGTTAGAACTTCAGAGAAGAAAATTTGAGGAACAAAAAGTAGAGGTGTCCAGTAGTTCTGATTTAGATGATCCTATTGAAAGACATTCCAAGTCAGAAGAATTGAGGAATACAAGGAAAATGGAATCAGAAAAAGATAACTTGCAAAAAGAAATAACTGACGTGGATAAGGATTTTTTCGAAGATTTATTGAGAAGATCGAAGGAAAAAGCTGAGGGTGGTATGTCAGGCAGTTCCAGTTTTGGGCAAGAAGATTTTTCACATTTTTTGAAACTTTTGCAAGGACAGACAGAGAAGAAAGAACAAGAATCAGACGATCCTAATCCTATGCATCCTTTTCTTTCAAAGTCTACAGATGAAAGGAAATCCATGTTGAACGGGGAATCCACGAATGATAAGAGTCCTGAATTTCCTGAGAAGGAAATTTCCGACATATTAGAAAAAGAACTACCTCAGGCAAAAAATCCAAAAGCTGAACATGAAATTGTTGAAACGGATTCTAGTGTTGACAGTGAAGAACGTAAGCAATCTCAAGACATTATTAGTATTAGTAAAAACGAGTTGAAAGTATCTAATAAAAAAGAACAATTATCTTCAAGAAACGTAGCCATGGTAAAAGATAGTAAAAAAATACTTAATTCTAAGGAAGAACTGTATACGGTTGGTCTTACGCCAAGATTAGAATTATTCGCAGATGAAATTCCCAAGTTGTTAGCCGAAAAGTCGACAGAAAATGCAATAGAACAAAGCAAACAACTTACAGAGGAACCGAAAACATCTGTGCGTAAAACAATTTCAAGTTCCGAGATTAAATCTAGTGTTAATCCTGCAATTTCTCAACGTAGCAACGTAGAACGCAAATCTACTCATTCGGCTAGTGCATCGAGCAATAAATTACAAAAGAAAGAGCTAAAGTTTTCTAAGTCTAAGAGTTACGATCAGATTTGTAAACCATCGTTCAGAACTTCTGTAGAAAATCTAAGAGTAAGTAAACCTTCGGATGCTGCGAAGAGACCCGCGAGTACTTTGATTAGACGATCACCAATTTTAAAGTCAAAACTGCAACCTATGGTTAAACCAATTACCAAGATTCCTCCCAAGACCAAGGTATCTCCAAAACCAAAGAAAAATTCTGTTAAGACTGGTTCCACTCTTACTTTGTCTTCCACACATAAAACGTACCAAGCTAAATCACCAGATTCTAAAACAAAAAACACGATGGCCGGTGGTGACACAAAACAAAGTGTAACGAAAACGAATTGGGAAATGTTGTGTCGTGAAGAGAGACATAAGAATGTGCTTCTGAAACAGCAACTAGAGTCGGAGATTAAATTGTACAAGAATCAAATTGACAATATGCGTATATCTTTCGAGGAAGAACTGTTTGCATTAAAAAAGCAGAACATTATTTTAAAAGCGAAAGTAGACGAGCTTTCGTTAAATGAAAAGCGTCCAGATCCTCAACCAAAGAAAGACACGAAGATTATGCTTTTAGAAAAAGAATTGGAGAAACAAGAAAATTTAATTCGGGCTTACGAAACTGAAAATAAAAGGTTGATGCATGATACGAAGCGAATGCAGGAAGAAATGAAACAGTTGCAAAAACAGAAAAGTACAGTATTAGAATCAGGTAAGATGCAGGAACTTGCAGATAGAGTCAAGGATCTCGAGGAAGGGACTTTGAAACTTAATCTCGAAATCTCTGAGCTTCGAGAGAAAAATGCAGATTGTGCATTGAAGAATGAGGATTTGATTCAACAAAATAGTCTTTTAAACGATGAATTGGAGATGTTCAAAGATCAGTTGAGAACAAAGAATGACTTTATCACGGATCGATTACAAGCAATGACTACAGCGGAGCTGGAATTGAAGAAGCAAGTAGAAGATTTGACTGTAAAGTTAAGTTCTAAAACGGAACAATTGCGAATAGTAAAACAGGAATTTGATAAGATTCAACAGAACGTACTACCATTGGAGAAGGAACTATTAGAATTGAGAGTTAAAGAGGGTAACCTTTTGGACAAATTGCAAATAACTAAGAGTCACGTAGAACGCGAAAAGCAATTAACACAGAAGTTGAAAGACCAAGTGATCCTCGATAGTAAAAAGATTACTGATTTAAATAGACAGGTTCGTGAAATGGAGAGAATACTGAAGAGAAAGAATCCCGATTCGGTATCTGCCCTCATATTAACTGCGAATTCTGAACACGAAAAAATTGGTTCAGAGAAAATTAAGTTGTTGGAAGGTCGAATTGCGAGTCTGGAAAATGAAATTAAAGCAAAGGATGATTTAGCTCAGAAGAAGGTAATTGAATTACAGAAAAAGTTCACGGATATGAAGGAGAAGTATACTACACAGATAATGGAATTAGATGGAAAATTGTTGGAGGCTAGCATGAAGGATCGCAAGGTGTGTAATGATATGTTTACGCAGACTACATCGAAACCTGTAGAGAATAAGGGAGTGGAAACTGTTAGGAAGGAAGAAAGGACAGGATCATTCGAGAAAGAAGAAAAGAAGGATCAGAAATCATCTGCAAAGGCTACACTGAAATCACAGAATTCGAAGGAGGATGCTTACCTTATGGCTACGATACGTGGATTAAAACTAGAGCTTGCAAATAAAGATAAAGCGATTTCGAAGCTCACGAAAGAATTCCAAGACTTACAAAAAACAAATATAAGACTGCAGAAGGAGAGAGAGAAATTGTTGAACGATAGAAGATTTGCGAAGACCATGAATTTCGAAAAGACGAACCGCGGCATGGTGTCGTCAGACTCAAAATTATTATCATTAAAGTCTATTGAGGGAAATGATCAAAATTCGAACATTTATCAAAATGGACACGCATCTGATATGAACACCCAACGATCTGTTTCTGTGCAAAAGCTTTATGATCCTATGCAGTATACTGAAAATGGAGATACTAATTTGATGAAGAGATTGGCCGATGAGAATGATATTCTAAAGGAAGAACTAAGCAAGATGAACAAGGACTTCATGGCTCTGAAGAATAAACGTCTTCACGATCTGAACCTCTTGCAAGAGGAACATGAACGTGAAATGGCCACATTACTGAAGGAGTATAGCGTGAAATTTGGAGACTCTAAAGTGGTAAAGTTACAGGTTCGTGGTATTACGTGCAGCGTTCATTTCGAATTTTTGTTTACTTATTAGGTTGTATTATAAACTATTTGCACGTAGTACTCTTATCATTTGTACGTGATTGCTTTTGTAAAATGTTTGTCTTTATACATAGGGTCAAGTAAATACGCAAGTAGCTGTGATATCCCATTTGAAGCAGCAAATTGAGAAATTAAGAGACTACAAGGAACAGGTGGTTGTTTTAAAGGCTGAACGGGATCACTTGGAAAACAAAGTGAAGACATTGAATGAAAAAGTCAAGTACTTATCAACGCCGGTATGTAATAGAAATTTCATTCTATAGAATTACTTCAATGCGTGTATTTACAATTGTTATATTTTCATTGTAGAGCACAGAACAGCTACAGTTGTTGCAGGACAAGATAACTATTCTTCAACAACGACACGAAAGCCGCGAGATGACGTTGCAGAGTTTGGTGCGCGATCTACTTAGAAATAGAACCCAGTGTAAAGACTGTAAAAATGAAAAGGGTAAAAATCGACAATTATGTTATTTCCGACAAGAGCTTGATCATATTCTTGGAATGCTCCAAGAGATCGCTAATGTTCATTGACTTCTAGATGGTAACTAGATTATATATGCGTGCAAAGTGGTGCTCATGAAATGTCAAGAAATCGATAGGTCGCAATTTATCGATTCGTTATCATCGGGCATTGTGATAATTCGTATGTTCGAGTGTACTGAAACGAATCTTACGTTTTTATTAGAAGAAGTTATCTCGTTGTTAGGCACTTTATAAATGTGTAAGCGGGTGCACAGCCAAAAAGGTTTGGTCGATGTTTTTTTTATCGACCTTTTTTCGAAGACGAGACGATTAGCCGTTCACGGTCGCGTTTGCAATATGTTTAGTTATTCTTACGATAAGATACAGAAATTCAGTGAAATCATATCGATCCTGGGAAAGCTCACGCATAATGATCGACTGGGATCACTGCCAAAGTTATAAACAAGAAAAGAAAAAAAAAAAAAAAAAAAAAGAAAAAAAGACGAATATATAACGAAGTTACTGTTTTGTCGTAACTTCTCGTCGACATTCCTTCTTGCCACTGTGCGTGCAACACGCATGGACAACGTCCATAGTTGGAGTAATAAAACTAATAGTCAAATATCAAATGAGAACATAGAAATATTTTGAACTATATTTACTAAAAGCAGACTTTTTATTTATCTAATAACGTAGGTTTAAAAATTGTCGGAAAGAAGAACATGACTGCTTCCAATTCGGAACTAGCTTTAGCCTTGTACTTATTATCAATTTGGCGAACGGATAGGTAGACTATACGAACGTAGAGGAAGCATCTCGTAAACATGAAAGATATCTTCCAAAGTTGCGTAGAAGTTAATTTTTTACATGAGGCTTTTTCAGGATATGCTAAGCGTCGTATTGACACGTTTGAATAATTGTATTTATTTCCTATTTATATTCACTCATTCTTCGCCATCAACGAATCCATCTATAATCAAGTCGTCCATTGTATTATATATATATATATTTATATACACTTTAGAAACATTCATTAAACGTTTTAGCGATCACAGTTGACTCTATACTCTTACGATGAACGAAGCACACGCATATCGCACAAATTCGATGTGTCCTAGACGTAATAACATTAAACAACTTTGTTACAGGTTGAGTTTAGAAAATAATTCTTTATTTTCAGGTTGTACGTGTTTTTATCAAATCATTATAATCACACAGAGTATAGTTACTTCTTCAAGACTGGATATATGTCAAAATCACTGCATTTTTTTACAATTACTTTTAAGCTGAACAACCATAATGTACAAACCACGAGATTATGACTTTAATAAAGTACTTCTTTTCTCTTTAAACCATTTGGTTTAAAGTTTGTTTACTATAATATATATATATATATATAGTTATGTTATCAAATCTGTTTATGTTACATGCGGAATTAATGCGTGATGTAAGGTTTGTTTCAGGGAATTAGTAGTAGCGAATACACCATTTGATTTTCATTTGAACAATTTATTCGGATAAAATATATCTTCTTAAATACATGCGATACATTTCTGTCTCTACGCAGGATACATAGCTGTACATTAATATACAGATTTTTATTAAGTACATAGCGGTATAGCGCATGGAAATATTACATTAGAGCAATCACTAAAAGCAGGTCTTGGAAGTAGCGGATCGTTGTTTCTCGTTAGATTGGATTTTACCCTATAGTAAGTTGTGGTGTCTGCCTTACGATATTACTGTAACAAATAGCCATATCTTATTAATCTTCCAATTAATTCGTATCTGTTTTAATTAAACTGCTAATACAAATAGATATTTGCTTACCTAATGAAAGAACGTTTGCCATAGAAAACAGACAGGCCATACATCGAACACAGACCAATTATTAGAGCTTGACGAATAATGTCGAATGTTACAATGTGATTTATGGAGTTCTCTTGTTTCAGGAAATCTGTGGTGGTCGAAGCTTTAATCTTAGGTATGAAATCATAGCTGCGAGTCGAAATATCCTCTCGTACTGATAACGAACGTGTATTAACAGGGATCCTAGTATTGCGATGTTGGGCCAAAACGGACAATGATCGAACATATCTTCGAAGTGAGGTTGAATCTTCCAGTGAATTTCGTTGCATCGGTTGGCTTCGAGAATGAGAATTTTTATGAGCAGAGCGGATGTGGTCCATAGAGCGAGATCGTTTAAGGTCCCTTGCAGTTCTATCTCGATAAGTGGTTAAGAATGCGCGAAGGTTTTCATCGAATCTTTCTTCCCTTTGATTTGATCGAATGGTATTTACAAGAAGAGTAGGTGTAGAGCGAGCTCGTTGTAGGCGATCAGTATCGAGTCTTTGACGTAATGATTTTGAGTTCAAATCTTGGCGATCAATCCTTTGCTCTGTGAGACGACGTTCCATGAGACGGCTGTCGGTTCTTCCTTCCATAAGTCGACGATCAGCTCTTTGTTCCATAAGTCGGCGATCAGTTCTCTGTTCCATGAGTCGTCGCTCAGTTCTCTGTTCCATAAGTTGTCGGTCAATTCTACGTTCCATAAGGCGTTGGTCAGCTCTCTGTTCTTTAAGTCGTCGTACAGCTCTTTGTTCCTTAAGTCGTTGGTCAGGTTTTCGTTCCATGAGCTGCCGGTTAATTCGTTCTGTGAGTACTCGATCAGCTCTGTTTTCCATAAGTCGTCGATCAATGCTTCGTTCCATGAGTCGTCGGTCAACTCGTTCTGTGAGTACTCGATCAGCTCTGTTTTCCATAAGGCGTCGATCAATGCTTCGTTCCTTAAGATGTCGGTCAGCCCTCTGTTCCGCGAGTCGTCGGTCAGTTCTTCGTTCCATGAGGCTCTGGTCAACTCTTTGTTCCGTAAGTCGTCGGTCAATTCTTCGTTCCATGAGTTGTCGGTCAGCCCTTTGTTCCGCGAGTCGTCGGTCAGTTCTTCGTTCCATGAGGCGTTGATCAGCTCTCTGTTCTGCAAGTCGTCGGTCAATTCTTCGTTCCATGAGGCGTTGATCAGCTCTTTGTTCCACGAGTCGTTGGTCAATCCTTCGTTCCATAAGTTGTCGATCAGCTCTTTGTTCCGTGTGTCGTCGATCAGCTCTGTGTTCCATGAGTCGTTGGTCAGTTCTTCGTTCCATACGTTGGCGATCAGCTCTCTGTTCTGTGGATTGTCGGTCAACCTTTCGTTCCATAAGGCGTTGATGAGTTCTCTGTTCCGTAAGTCGTCGGTCAGCTCTCTGTTCCATGAGTCGGCGGTCAATTCTTCGTTCCATAAGTTGGCGGTCAGCTCTTTGTTCCATAAGTCGACGATCGGATGTTTGGTCTGCGAGACGACGTTCAACCCTTTGTTCTTTAAGTCTGCGATCAGCTTGTCGATCCACGAGACTACGATCGGTTCTTCGTTGAGCAGCTCGGCGATCAGTCCTTTTCTCCATAAGTTTACGTTCCATATTTTGGTCCATGCGACGATCAGTTTGTCGTTCCATAACTCGACGATTAGCTGTCGGTTCCATAAGTCGTCGGTCAGCGCTTTGTTCCAAGAGTCGGCGGTCAGTTCTCTGGTCCATAATTCGACGGTCAGCATTTTGTTCCATAAGTCTACGATCAGCTCTGACTTCTTCGCGGGTTCGAGATTCCACAGATCTGGACCGTCTTTCAGAATTCCTTCTAGAATCCACGGGTGCTCGACGTTCTGACCTACGGTCATCGGACAGATCCCTAACTCGTCGTTTTAAGTCGCTCCTGATAATTTCAGATGCCCTGTCGAGTCGAGATTCGCGTCGTTCACGAGCCAAGTTCAGTCTGTTGTTTCTTTCTCGTCGTTCCATGTCGTCTGAGTTACGTCTTAACGATCTAACAGAGGAGTCTCGTCGTTCCATATCGCCTGAGGAGCGTCTTAACGATCTAACGGAGGAATCTCGTCGTTCGTTTGCCCTGATATCCATACGACGATCCAGACGAATAGTTTTTTCTCGTTCATCGTTGACTTCTCGTCGTTCCAATCTGGTAAGAGATCTACGGTTTTGGTCCAGTCTAGAATCACGCCTGATCGTCAGTTGCATACGGTTTCGTCTGTCAACGTTCCTCACGGATAAATCGTTCCTCTCTAGACGGGAATCGGTAGATGCTAGTCGTTCCGTGGATCGTACAAGGTGTTCGCGTTCTCGAGAATCATTTACTCGCCTGTTTGTTTCACGACGCCTATCCGAATCAATAGACCTTTTGACCAATCTTCGTTCAGAAGAATCCTCTCTAGTTCTTGAAGCGAGCAGACGAGAAAGTTGAGTTGCAGAATCGGATGAACGTCTTGCACGGTCTTGGATTCTAGCCCTGAATCTCGATTCCACGCTGCGTCTAAAATCATTATCGATATTCGTTCCCTGTCTGTCTAATCTCTCCATGCTCCTGAAGTCCACTCGAGACTGTGATCGAACTCTGGAGTCACGATCTAAGCTTCGAGATCGGGACATTCTGAGATCAGCCGGTATCAGGGAAGTCCTGGAGTCTCTGGTTTCTCTGGTCGTCTTCGCAATCCTGGTCTGGTCTTGCTCGGTGGCCAAGCAAGAAGGCATTTTGGTGAAAGGATTCAAATTAGGGCAGGCATCCACTCTGCGAGAGGCACGACACGTTAGTTGGAATATAATATTTTAATATTAGAACAAAAAAGCAAAAATTCTAATGCTAAGTCTTACTCGTGAGGGGCTTGATGTTTTAATTCAGGTCCCGCCAGACTTCCTGCTCGGCCTTCCTTATCCCTGGAGACTAGACCTAGCGTTAGGCAGGCCAGGGATACCATCAAAAGGCCGACATACTGCCAAGCCCGTACTGGCAATACAACGTACCGTGTACGCCGCATGCTTAGCATCGAGGAAAGGAAGAGTTCTCAGATTACACTGGCATATTTTCAAAATTTATATATCGTTTCATATTTTATCTCAACTTACCCGACTGCTTTTGCTTCTAGGGTAGAGACTGCTCGATCGTATGGCCCAAGGTGTGGTGGCAACTTCTTCACGGAAGAGCTCGTGTTCTCTCTTGGAGCTCCGGAGAGCTGCTGATGCTCCCTGTCCCAAGGAGCCGAGCTTTTATACTCGCAGAAATCCACCGCAATTCGATACCTGTTCAATTCAGTGCTTATCAGCACCGACCACATGGGACCCCATATTCCGATACGTGAAAATCACCGTGAATGAAATCGGGGCCGGGAACTATTGCAAACGCCTCCGTAATTGGTTAACCATCTAGAAAATTGCAACTCCGGACACCTGTGTGGCAGCTGATAAATCGGTTACCCGATTTCCTCGTGGCTGAGTCTCAAAGCAGTCGCTAGATCGATCACGAACAGTCTGGATCTTCTCTTCGGTGAAACGCAGTCGAGCTAAGTTCTATTTTATATTACTCATTTCTCCGTTAATTTGGGTTTATCGTGGCATAAGATTTTTATTATAATTTCAGGTACGGATCGATAATAATTCATAGCTAGTACAGTTTCTAGAGACTGGTTTATTTTTTATACAAAATTCATATAAAATACAGGAAAGGCTTGTAGCGCGAGCACCTTATAAATACATAGATGGTATATTTACATTACATTACATTATACATATATATTATATTATATTTCTATATATAAATTGGACCGTCAAAATTTTTCGAAAATTTTGCCGTCTCCCGTCTGCTGGGAAGAAATCGTCCACGAGTTATTTCGATTTCGCTCACTTTTAGTCTGTTTCGAACAGTCCCAATTCATAAGCGAGACGAGTTAGACGGATACATTTGATCATTATTATACAATCAGTGAGTTGACTTTTGCTTTTAGGAAATGACGATCGTCGTGATCGTAATTGTAAGGAACGTGACGATGCTGAAGCTAGAGCTCCTCCATGCACCGGATAGTGTTGCCATTTCGCTGCACGTCGTTTCATTCGTTTCTGGCAGTGCTGTGTAGTTTGGGAATGACTGAATATCTGCTGGCTGTGAAGAAAAAATTATTCGATGATCGGGATCAGGTGATCAGGTAACGGAGATAACGTTAAAGTTAGCCTTACCAGGGCGAGCTTGTCGTCCCTCTTTCTGCAGAAAGTCATATGTCTACCGTGGTACAAACTCTGCTCAATGGATCTGGCAAGAAGTTCCTCGGTCCAGGGCAGTGCCAACATGTGTTCTGCCAAAGTTCGACCTATTGGAAAAGACGATCGTGAAATGCGGAACTAGAAGCGAAGACTAACCCTTTGCACTCGAGAGGCGAGCTTCAGATTCCAACGATCGGTGTTAATTAATGTATCAAATTTGAAATTACCCAACGATGCGTGGAATGTCTATGTGAAATAATTCCACGTCTTAATTTGTATACGATTTCTTATCAATCGTTTTAAAAACTATCGTCGACTTTATGACAGAGAGTCTTCGAATTACTATTCTTTTGTGAAAAAATCGTCGAGTGCCAAGGGTTAATCGTCTGAAATTAAACATTCGCGTAACGTACCTTTAAATTCTTCAGGTTCTTCGATGATCAATCGAGAGAAAACGTTATCGTTATCGTGTTCTACCGTGTAATCTCTCATGGCCCTCAACGCAGATTTGGCCTCCCTTATGAGTTCCTCGTCGACATCTTCGCTTAGCCTCGTAGCAGGATATATGGGGAGCTGTTGCTGACCAGTGGGTATGGTTACAGCATCTGTCCTATAGGAAGAAAAGGTAACAATTTATAAAACGAACGAACCGAGTTCGCTCGTATTTCGTTGAGTTTCGGTATACGCTTATTTACCTAGTGGTTAAAAAGAGTTTCTCCAAATGATCCATAGTGACACCTTTGAAGCTGTGTACGCCAAGAGTCTTGAAGAGATGCTTCACCGGTGTCATGCTATAACAGGCTGCAAGTGGTGTTCTGGGATAGTGCACGACGAAAGCCAGACACATTTCCTGAGAGGCGGCATATCCACCCAGGGTAGGTTTCGTCCTGTCCAAAGTGCCATAAACGCATTCAGCCACCAACTCGTCTCCCGGAAGCACCTTCACTTCCTTCTCGAGAGTGTGAGACTGTTGGTACTCGAAGTCGAAGTGGTTGTCTTGGACTATTCTGGGCAATTCTTTGCCCTGTCGAATGTGTTTCAGACTCAGTCGACGGCCGGCCAAGTGCGAATGCAACACCACCGAAACGATGTTCACACCACCTTCAGGGAACATCTGTAAGAATATTCGACTGTCCAGAAATTTGCAGACGAACTACTGGTATGCTTGCATCGTAATTACCGAGATAACGTTATTTACCGTGTTCGTACAATGAGGAGTACAGTATCCCGCAGTGGCATATTCCTTTTGTTTCGGTGGAATTAGGTGAAGAGGACTCACAGCTACACCGGCGACGAGAATTCCAGCTTCCTCGGGACGAAGTTTCGGAGTTAAATGAAGGCGTACTCCACTGCTATCTACCACTTTCTTCATGCTCGGGTTATTATAGTGCACTTCTAGCATGTAATAAGAACCTTCAGGATGTTCCGCAATGGGAATGCCGTCGTGTTCCGGAAGCCATTCGCCTAGAAGACACGTCGTATCGTGCAGCTCGCATTCCCAACTATTACCTACTTATTACTTCAATAAATTTCTTCCTCGAGTTTACCTGTGCTTCCACGGGCCCAAGCTAACACTGGTTGCAAACAAGATTCCCACTCTCGGGGCATCGTGGGACTGTAACAGGGTGCTCCAACGATTCTCGCGTGCTGTCCCAAAATCGGCAAGGTCGAGGCGCATTCGTAGAGTATTATGTGATGTACCAAATCCTCGTTCTCCTTTTCCACGAGTGGCGTGTACTGGGAACGAAACGTTAATTCCTCTTTAATATTTCAGCGAGTCGACAGTGGCGCGAATTCGGAGAAGCAGAAGAATCGCGAGACAATTTCGGAATACCAGATTGAACCGTGCTGCTCTCCTGAGAAATCTCTTCGAGCAGATTCCATTGACAATCGGAGAGCGTTTCGGACACGGAATGACATCATTCCGACATCTCCTTCTTTATTCTAATGACGTCCGTCGACACGGTGCCATGTCCGGCATGGATGACCGTGATTCGTGAAGCACATACGAATCAGACCCAACCTTATGACATTCCTCTGTACTTCTCCCGTCGTACACGAAACTTATACCGAAACGAATACCAATCTGCGTGCACGATCATGCATCGGAGAAAATTCGAAAAGTTTCGACGAATTTCGATCGCTTACCCCGATCATGTGGTGCTTCTCCTTATGAGGGGCCTTGAAGATCTTGCACCAATAGGTGGTATCCACGTTGTCTGAAACCGGGGGCTACGTATCAAGAAGAACATACGATTAATCGAGATCTGCCGCAGACGATTAATTAGAGATCGACTCACTCTTCGATTCTACGTACTTGGTTCAATTTTACGTCCCAGTGCTTGATGTCCTGGGTGTATCGAGGGGGTGCGTGAGGAGCAGGAGTCTTTAATCTCAACGCTCTGCCACCGTGCTTGTCACCGGGCCAAATCGCAGTGTTCAATTCAGGATCGCTCGAATGCAGTGCCCAGAGGACGCGAATCGTGTCTCCCTGCGATGGCAAACGATGCTTTCGTAGTGGTACTCGTAGAGAGCGTCAGAGGGGGCAGTCGGATATAGGAAATAGGTTCGTTAAGAAGTATTTTAATGGGCTGGACGCCACGCTGGTTAGACCCACTGCGGATCGAGAATGGGAATCTGCGAGGAGACTCAAGGGTCGCGGACGGCATGCTAAACGCCTAAATATCGCTGCGGGAATTCGACAGAGCCGAAGTCTTAGGGCCTCTTAAAGTCGCGGGCTCCCTTCGTGGCGGGCATAAATCGAAAGAGGGAGGAGGTTCTCTCCGCGAATTCTGCCAGGGCTCCTGTCTCAACGTTGTAAATCTTCCTGGCTATTCCCGATTCCCAGGCTCCGTCAGGTGGAATCGAATATCGAACAATTTGTTTTCTCGCGACTTGTAATTACTCCGAGCGGAGTTACGAGGGAACTTGATCCTTTATCTTCGACTATATTAGCATTCTTCTAGGTGGAAGGAGGGAGGGCTGGGATAAGAATAAACGCGTAACGGGAATAATCCTGACACGGATATGGGAAAGAAGTGGCGCATAATTAAGCAAGGAAAGTTGCGAGTCGGAGCAGCGGAAAGATTTAAACGAATAATATCGTTCTTTATGCTTCCAGCCTTACCGTAAGTCGATGATCCTGAGGATCGCAGGTCTGCCAGTTTCGCGAGAAGATCACGTTCGTGTGGGTCTTGTTTTGCGAACCACCCAGTACCTTGACATCTTGGGACGTGTCCGTGACCAGGGCCGCCTCTGGATCCTCGATCCCGTGCGAATCCTGAGAAGCAAAAAGAGACATTTGGAATCGTGGACTGGGTGAACGTGCGAGAGCCGTGTGTTCGAGGGCTCCGAATCGCGCAGATTCGCCACTGGAACGAGATCGAAAAGTTTATCGGGTCAGGTGAGCGCCAGGTGTTTATGTTCGACGGTGTACCAAAACTTTTTGTCAGGCCCAATTCGTTCCTCTCCACCTTCTGCACTTTCTCCTTTGCTCTCCGTGGAGGGTGTCGGAGTCGAGATACGCAATCTCGCGACTTTATGCAGCAGAGATTCGATCTTCGATACACGTAATTCGCGGAAGATGATCATCGCGGAATATTCATTGACGAAATATATTAAAAATAGCCTGGGACACGCTGCGGTTAAAGGATACCGGAACATCGTCATGCGTGACGCTGAGAAGGGCCGTAGGCGTTTGGGTCCGTTGGATTCCGATTATAGTTGGGCGCTAAAGTTTGTAAGAGGCCGAAGGGAAATCCCCTTCCTGCTCTTAATGAATCGAAATAATTGGCCGAGCATCGTCACGCCTGTTGCGTATTTTGTAATGAGCACGTGCAAAGAGGAAGAGGTAATAAAGCGGCTCGTATGGCGAAAAAAAGCGACGCAAAGTATGAAAATTGTAACTAGGGAAGCAGACAGGCTGTTAGGCTCGATAATTCCGAAGGCGTCGAGAGTCGGAAGCAAACTTATCGTTTTCGTTCTACGAAAGGAACGGCGATAGACGACTAAAGTTCCATCCTCGCGTAAACAAACGCTTCGCTCTCAGCGAAAATACCGGAGAAAGTTTATCGGTGAAGAATCGTTGATCGCGGCGCGAGTAAACTCGCGTAACGATTCCCGTTTAATTACGATAGCCGGTGATCCGTAGTTCGGGTGGGGTTTGCGCGCGTTCTCACGAGATTCGCGGGGGTTTTCTCATGGCACCCGGATATTCTCATCGTCGCCGGGCTAATTAGCACGTCCGTGGCATTGCTGGATGGTGATTAAAAAAGCCAGAGATTCCGTGGCGATCTCTCGAATCAGCGGATCGACTCATCGCGGTAACGTTTTAATTGCAGCGATTTATACGCAGTGCGTTGGTGCGTCGGTGCGCAGGAAAAGCGCGCATTTTTCAACGTGGACGACGGGGTTTAGAACGCGGAACGGCTTGATCATCGGTTGTGGAAATTATGCAAATGCCGACAAAGGTCTGCGTCGCGTAGTTCGTAAGCGATATATACGTTCGAAACGATTTTGACACGCTTTAACGTCCTTCGAATTTTCGCCACGACAGCTGCCATCTCGGGCGTTAAAGAAATTAAGAAAATTACACGACGAGCGTATACTTTTCGGAGAACCGCGTTGTACGTTAGTTTCGTCGGAATCAATGATCGGCTGGCGAGTCACAAAATTGACAAGGAGGAAGTTGCATGCTCTTCTCGCGTCCTCCTTTCAGGAACAGGTTTCTCTGGGACTTTTGCAAGCAACAAATGCGCGCGGCAACGCTATGGATACCGGGCTAGGAAACAGGCGGAAGTCTAACGGGGATGAGAAAATGGAGGAAAATTCGGTTGGCGGAGTTCGGTATTCGTTTGAACCGAATCGAGTCACGGACCCATGGGAAAAGAGGCACACGTGCGTGGATGCGGAAAATTAATTCGGCGGATGTGACGTCATGGATCGGTACTCGCGTTTCCTGTGGGAGTCTTCTGAGAAACCTGTACGTTTCAGAAGACCCTTACCTTATCCCTTCCGACGAACGTTCGTTAAAACGCGTCGCTCCGTGCAGGGGAATGGCGGAATTAACTGGAACGAGAAATACATATTCGCAATGCAGCATCGTCTATCTGTAGGATCTAGCTTGAGAAATAGTTTCCGATCTATATACGCGTGGCAAAAAAGAAACGGTTCTCTTTGTGCCCCCGGAGGGCCGTGGTGGTTCCCATGGGTCCGGAGTTCCGAAGAAAAAGAGAGAAATTCTCTCATGAGGCGCCACTAGGAGGACGATGCTTGCCAGGTGTTTTGGAGGTAGAGCCTCCTTTTTCTTTCCCTTTCCCTCTTCTTTCACAGACCATTTCGGTTATGCTCCTTTCCCTTTTTTTCTCTCCGTCTTTCTCACGCCGCTTGCGTTTTCTTACTTTTGCCCTCTATACTTTTCTCCCTCCAACTTTTTCCCCGTCTCTTTTCAACGCTTCGTCGAGAAACCCGACTACTTGGTCCTTTTGCTTCTTTCTCGCTTCTTCTCCCTCTCTCACTCTCGCTCTTTTCTTCTTCTCCGAGCTTCTCTTCGTTCTCTCCTGGTCCGGGGCTACCTCTCCTTTTTCTATATTGCCCCTCCTTTTTACCACCTGGCAGAACAGCAGCTGGTAGCGCAAAGAGGTCCCTCGAAGGGGATAAAGGGCCTTCCTATCGTCCTTAGGGAACTCCGAGGAACCACCTACCGGCCTCTAAACAGATTCAACCAGAGTTCGACTAAAACGTGCTTTCCTAATTGCCGAGAAGACACTTGTACGACTGGATGGCGCGTGTCTTCGTTAACGTCCTCGGCCGAGCGAGTAATCCCTTCGATTTATCGTCACGAGAGTCACCCATTGCTCGATCCTTTCGCTCGGAAAAATCGCGCGAGGGAAGTCTCGCAATGGCTCGAACGATCCTCGATCAAGTTTTTTGGCTAGAACACTGATCCAGAATTCGCTCTCGTAAAGTACAGGCATTTCCAACTTGTCACAGTGCGAGCCGATCCGGTTCTCACGTGTCTTGATCCTGAGAAGGGTGCCCGGTTACGCGCAATTACGCTCACTGACTGGCTATAGCTCATCGTGGCTGGCAAAACGAGCGTACGCGGAATAATAATCGATAAATTAAAACACACTGTAAACGCTTCTGTCAAGGTCCGTGTTCGTGCTTCTTGCTTTTCCTCTTCGGGGTGGCTACGTCCCGCGCGATTTGCTTTGGTAATCTCAACGATCCCCGCTGTTTAAGGCTTCGTTCGTTCAGTCGTGTCTCTGTCTGGTTCCCGTGCTAATCGACGCTTAATTCGTTTTCGCTCCCTCCGTTTCATCGGACGTTCGCGTGCTTGCGAACATTCCACGGGAACAGGGAAAGGATATCGTTTCTCCGCGATGGCCGTGATGCAGAAATGACCGAGATTTTCAGGGAAGACACGGAGATTCTAAGGGAATCCGCTGGCGAAGAGGCATGAGTTGCAGGCATTAGCTTCCGCGAACCAGTTTGGCGCCGGTTTAACCACCAGCGGGGCCAAATCGTGCCTTTTTCATGGACCTCGCCTCGAGCTCCAGGGCAAACCGAGGAAATTGAGGGATAAATTTGTTTTTTCTCCTCCTTCTCTTCCTTTTTTCCCTCCCTCCAACAGTAGCCTGTTAATTTCGATCGGAGTTGTAATTGGTAGCATTAATAATAGCTTTACCTTCGTCCTTTGAAGCTTCTCCAGATACCCTGCGGGAGGAAGCCTCCTCGCCCAGCGTTCGACCGGTACAAGTAGTCAGTTTCTGAGGATCGTGAATACGCTTATTAAGCATGAAAGAGGCCTGGAAAGCGGCAGTAAAAAGAGAATGACCTACGAACTCCGGTTCACGATTGCACAATGGGGATACGCGTCGCCGGCCACCAGACTAATCTTAATCCGTAAAATATTCCCGGTGCCCGGCTAAAATCTCTCTTTCTCTCTGCACGCTGGCGGGACGAGGACGCTAGTTCGTTTCTTCGTGGAGATAAAGTGGTAAAACCACTCGGCGGGAGCGTAAGGGGAAGGAAACGTTGTATAATTTACAGACGAGAGCACAAATGTGGACAAATTTTTCACGTTGTAAAGGCATCGACACCTCGGTCGCCAACCATCCCGGCTACACGGTGTCGCGTCTTCCGGAGTCTCGTGCCCTCCGAACGCGAAATCCCACGACTTTCTCGCTCCGCTTCTCTCAGCTGCGCGAACTTCGAGGCAAAGTTGGATCCAAAACGAACGAAAACTGGTTGGCGGAGGGTGAAAAAGGACGAGCAGGATATGTCGAAGATAATGAGAAAAAGATCACGGCGAGAGGAAGGGCGAATGTGTGCGTTCGTCTATGCGCCGTGTGGGTCCCGGCTGGGTCTCTTGGACCACGAGATGGACGGATTGCAGATTACGTGCATTTCAGATTCACTTTGCGAAACGTGCTTCCCTGCCTGTAATAAATTACGATCGTAATCGTCGTACGTGCACATCCCGTCGCTCGCGGTGAATAACTTAGCAATTGCTGAATTTTCTGAGCCTTTGTCGTTCTCGGAATCAGCCGCGTTTCGCGGTCCTATTAGCTAAAACCGTTTAAGCAAAAACCAGATCGAAACCGTTCGATCGGTATACCTCTGTGTTTTCCTTTTCCTTTTTTCTTTCAATTCGCTCCATTCTTTTTGCTATCGTTCCACGACTGTTTCTTAACACATGTTCAGAGATCCGAGGAGCGGAAGGTATCACGTGTCGGCCGATTCATTGGAGCCAGGACCGCTCT